AGCTCAAATCAGTCCAACAGTTTAATTACCTCGGTAGCCTCATCTCCTCAGATGGTAAGATCGATGGAGAGATAGACAATAGTTCTATGAAGCATTCTTGTGAAGACAGAAGAGTTTGGCTATGTGGTGAATTGTATAGATTTTCCTACATATCTAAATTTCTGTATGTATTTTTTACCCATGGATCTCTGCTAGTTCCATGTGAACTCGTTTATGTCAGTCTGGTCTGAGTTGCACATAAATAAATTCATTTGAATTTCTTACTCTGTGTTTATTCAAATGCTCTCCTAAAATAAAACGATTTACGTGTGAGGCTGCAGTGAGACAGTAGTGGTGAGATGAAGCCAGGTTTTATTCTGGTGGGAGAGCCGGTCTGTGTTGTTTTAGCTGTGGCTGTCTTTTTATTTTTTTTCTTTTACTTTCTGTCAGGGATGTGTTCCTTGTATTATACGAACACTGGTAATTTACTGCAAGTGCACTTTTAGCTTTCTGTTTCTCTGTGAATTTGAAGGACCTTAGTAAACAGATAAAATAACACGGTACGGAAGAGAGATGTCACTGTGTCCTGCACGGTGACCCAGCTGTGTCCTGTCATGACACAGAAGCAATGGGAGCAAAGCACAAGCTATTCGCTGGTTGTTTAAATGTACTGTGGAATGAAAGAAAATGCCCCCAAAGGCACATTTTTCAAATGTGTTGTTCCATCTGATGTTCTCCACATCTCCCTCTTCAGCATTCATTCAAAAAACCAAAACCCCCCCAACAAAACCCGTCCTTTTTTTCAATTCAAACCATCAAATTAAAGCTGAAATTACACTAGGAGTCTTTATAACTCATTTAATAACTTGGTGATTGAATAGTCCCATCCTTTAAGGGAAAAAAAAAAGTTACAGTGTTGAGGAATTAAAAATGTTTGGTATTTGGTTCTGTGTCTGGATTTCAGGAATTTGGGGAATAAACTGGCCTGTGTACAGTTAGAAAAAAAATCTTTGGTGTTCAGTGTAAAATCTTTGCATGATTTTTAAATGGCCTTTCTAAAGTTACCACATGGATTTAAAATCCATTTTCTCATCAGTTGTGTGCCTGGGTGGAGCTGTCACTGACATGCATGGGGACACTGATCACGTCAGTGCCACTGCCATTGTGTGTAATTTCCACATTGAAGGTCTTTGTGACTGTGATGTGACATTGACTGAGAGTAAGAGCAGATGATTTTCACTGCTTTTTCACCAGCAGGTGAGAGAGATGGGAAACCATAGCTTTCAACACTAGCAAGGGGAGACTCAGCCTGTGGTATTTTCTGTGCCCAGAGACAAAAAAGGAACCTAAAAGGTCTGTTGTTTTTATCTCGGGTGCCTTGGGAAGTGAGGGGTTCTAACATTAGAAACTCCGGTTGTGCTGACCGTTCTTCACTGAAAAGAACATCAGGGGTGGCTGGGAAATGTCATGGATTAAGGGCTTCAAAGATAGCACAAGAGCATCTCCACGACTGGAACCACAGGAAGCTTCCGGCAGGTGGAGAGAGCCTCTCTCACACCATACTTTGCACAAATTGAGCTATATTGGATTAAATCTAAGTAACTGTTCCCATTTTCTTGCATAGAGACAACCTGAAAAATACTTCTAAGTGAGAACCTTTGGCAGTGACTCATCATCTACTGAGTGGTGAATAAAAGCATGTGCTTATTTCCATGTTCCCTTGGTGGGGGAAAAAAAAAACTTTTATTTATTCATCATAACAACATCAAGAGAACAAAGCTTCTTTTCTTTGAAGGTCACTTGTAACAGTAATGCAAAAACAAACAGTAATATTAACCCTTCACATTATTTCTGCACCACAATTAATCACAAAATACTGGTAACACCACTGAAAAACTTCCCTTTTCAAGACACTTGCCATTTTCCTCCATTGTCCAAGTATTTTGTGGAAAAATTACTCTTTCAGTTAAGGGAGAAATATCCTCATATACATAATTAATTTTAAAATCAAAACAGCATCAATTGGGTTTTATACCCTCAGCACAGATACCAGTTAGAACACCTGGTGATGGTAGTTTTCTTCTAAAAAAGGACTTGTATGTTTTTAAAGATCCATTTTCCATTGCAAATATTTAATTTCATTATGAGATGAAGAAATGACAAATTGCCATTTCCATTTTTAATGCCATGAAAACATTTGAAAAATATATTGTGTGTAGGGACCAATTTGTACCCAGTTAATACTGACATACTCTGTTCCATGTAATTTCTCTGTCATAAAAAGATTTCCACATAATCCCTGCTTCTATCTGATGTACACAGGGGCTGATCCGACAACATCTGAAGGAAAAGGCAGAACCTGAATGGCAACAAATACTCCGAAAAAGATATTTACACAGAGTGTGTTTATCATCCCCTTTGAATTGTTTATGTTTATCATCCCCTTTAAATTGTTTTTATCATCCCCTTTAAATTGTTTCATGTTTATCATCCCCTTTAAATTATCATATACTAAGTGCAAAGCTAAATAACATCACAGTTATTTGTTAGGCAATGTCAGATTCGGTGAACTTTGACTGAAGCTGCAAGCAGACATAGTACTGACTGAGCATTTTCAGAAAAAAAGTATTTCAGTATACTGAAATTCACATTACACAGACACAATTTCAGTACAACTACTTTCTGTAAACTATGACAACATAGAACACATTCACTTTTTCTCAATATTTAGAAGATGAGATCTAAAATGCTAAATGCAGTCCAGTATCTATGGTATGCACACAAAGACAGAACCATGTTTGGAATTGTAGAACACTAAAGGAAAGCAAAGAAAGATGGATTTTTAGATAGAGATGATAAAAAATATGCAGTAGCTTAGAGTCTGCAGAGGAGTGTTTTCTACCCCTAAGACATTCAGTCCTCTGCTTCAAAATAGGCAAAATGTGAATTTCCATCTCCCAGGTGAGTTTTGTCATTAAAACCACAGAACAATTTGGGTTGGAAGGGGCCTTAAAGCCCATCTCGTTCCAACCCCCTTGCCATAGGTAGAGACACCTTCCAGTAGACCAGGTTGCTCTGAACCCTGTCCAACCTGGCCCTGGACAGTTCCAGGGATGGATATTCTGGGCAACTTGTGCCAAGGCCTCCCCACACCTGGATTGTCTTTTTTTAGGTCTGTCTGAGCAGGAGGACAGAGCTTTTCCCTGCTCCCAAGCCTATGTGTGAAGTGTCCTTGCTGAAGAACACTTGATGTGCCCCACCATCTGTACCCTGGTGAAAAGGGCTGTGACTGGGGCCAAAGAGCTCCTGCATGACCTGGAGATCTCTTTTGGGGGGAGTCCAGAACTGCAGACAGTGATAGACTCTTGTTTAGATATAGGCTCTGCCTCCCCCACCCTTCCTTTTCTGAGGAGCAGATTCCAGCAGGTCAGAACCTTGAGCAGCCCCAGGTGGCTGAGACACCTCGTTGACAGTGTGAGCAGTTTGTTTGTGTCACACTCAGGGCTCATTGTGCTCCCTGTGGGCTCCTGCCAGGGCTGGCAGGCTTTGTGTACTGGCCTGCAGCACTCCAGAGCTGTGCACCACCTGCCCCAGGGCCAGCTAGGCATCTGAAACGTGCTCCCAGTCTTTAGCTGGAATTCCCTGGGCAGCACAGCTCTGCAACATGACTTTTATTAACTGTTTACATGGAGTGAAGTCATAGAAGCAGGAGACATTGCCTGTGTACACCTGCCCCTGCACACTGATGTGTGTGAGTTTTTTGGGTATTGTACAACCTGGACAGTCAGGCTGGTGTCCAGCATCACAGTCAACTGTTTCAGGTTCCCAAACTCCATGTGTACGACCTCTGTTGGTGCAAAAAGAGTACATGTTTGGGAAAATCTCGGAGTCATATTTACAACGTACAATTACAACTGCAGTGCTTAAGAGGCATTGTGGGTTCAGTCTGTCACAGGTAAGTTGAAAATCTTAGAAAACCAGGAAAATAAATATTCCTCAGTTTGCAGAAAGCAGCCTCATTCGTTAATTATGTCTTCATGTAGTCTTTAAGCTGTTCGACTCATCCCAAGGCACAGAGCTTTACATCACAGACCCGCTCTACTTTGTGATATGCACCATTACAATCAGGGAGTGCAGTGAATATTTACATATCAAAGAGTTTGTAGCCCCTTATCCCCCATTAAAGATTCAGTAATTGCTTAACCTGCTCAGACTGTAATCTGCTCATACGGCCTCCTGCGCAGCAGATTGGTGTTTTTGGTCATCCTAGGAAAAGCAGGTGCTGCTGGCCCTAACTGTGTTTGCCCACAAGAAATCATCCCAGAAACTGTGTTTATGACAGTGATCTCCTGAACTGGGGGGCAAGGGTTCACACTCAGGGGTGGCAGAAAATCTGGCCTTGTCTGATCCAATGCTAAGGCTCCTGACCCTTGTCCTTCTGGGAAAGCCTGATTTCTGCCTTTCACAGTAACAGAAGGCATTTTCTCCAGAACTTCTCTAGAACTTGGTAACAAGGAGTGAGATGGAGAAATAATCTCTTTCTTTCCTATTGCTGACTTACTGTCTTCTGCAGCAGCAGCAGGACTTAGACCAGCAATTAACTGAGAATCAGAACTGTTGTGATCTGGTTTTGCATTTTTGTTCCTGAAAAAACCGCTGAGGTTTGAAATTAAGCTGATTTGTCCCAGACTGACACTCTGACCCATGGGAATCACACTGGGGTTATGTTTCTCTTCAACGAAAGGAGTCTGATAGTTTATCTTGTCAGGTGGTGGTTTCCTGGACCCAGTTTCATCCGAGGTTTTGAATACATGAGCAGTGTCTTTCCTGTCAATACTTTGGGGACTGGTGTTGACTCTCTTTGATAAGCCAAGGCCACTGACTTTACAAGAGAGCTTTTCTATGGGATTGATACTCTGAAGTTCCTGTGAAGAAGCAATTTTCCTCTGGTGAAACACTGCTGGGCAGCACTTTACCCAAGGCTCACGCTCCAGCTGCTGCACATGGGTCAGCTTGAACCGGGCCTGTATCGGGCTGGGTTTCATCATCAGTGACCCTGTTTGAGATAAGCTGTCCTCCTCCCGTGGAGGATACAGCTCTCTGAAGCTGAATGGTCCCTCTGGAGTCTCACTGGGTTCTATTTCCGATGGGGAGGTGCAGGCAGTTGGGTACTGACACTCCCCGAGCTCTGGGGGAGGCATGTTCAGGTACTGCCTAGTTTCCTGCCTCCCCGATGCAGATCTGTCCATGGTGATGATGATCACGTCTTTCCCTCGTGCCTTACAAGCGTTGAGCAGAACCTCTAGGGTCTCTCTGTCTGCAGAGTTTATTGCGTACACGAGAGCAGAGCAGTTGGAGTGGTCAGGCAGGCTTGGGTCAGCCCCACTCATGAGCAGTAGAGACACCACCTCTGGGCCCGCTCTGCCCAAGCATGCATGCATCAGGGCCGTCTTCCCAGATTTGTCCTGGATGTTCGGATCAGCCTTGTTGTCCAGCAGGTACTTAACCATCTTGGCCTTGCTGGCACTCTGCAAGTCCACGTGTTCAGTCATACAAGCAACCATGAGGGGGGTCTCCCCTCTGCTGTTGCTCTCATTGACGTAGGCACCCCCATCGATCAACAGCCTGGTGAGGCGGAGGCGTCTCTGGTACACGGCTTTGATCAGGGAATACCCCTCTGGTGGCACCTCCACCACCTCCATCATCCTGCTCATCTCACCTACACCCTCCTAGGGGCTATAAAAGATCTGCCTTCCATAGAAAGCAAAGAGGTTCCCCAGAGAAGAGAAAACAGAAAAAAAAAAAAAGAGAAGGTTTAACTGTACAAATTGCTCCTGCAAACACCGTCATATTTTGAGAAAAGAGTATGAAGGGAAGAAGAAAAAAAAAGTGTTCTCACCCTCTAGACTTCAAGAAATACATTAAAAACTTTAAAAAATACTTGAATATAAATACAACATTTGTAGAAGGTTAGAGTATGGCTGTCACTTTTTTATTTGTGACAGTCTTTTGTACAATCCTCTGCCTGAGCAGACAGTATCAGCTCTACAACAAAAGAAATGTTTGACAGAAGGAAAGTAAATCAGGAGATTTCACACAAAAAATTAAGAACTTAATGTGGCATAAATAACAAAAGGCCTTGTATGAATGTATACCTGCATACATGCAACTAACACTTCTTACATGAGCTTGCTTACCTATGTGTAGGGAAAACCTTTAGAGAAAAAAAAAATCAGTATTTAACAACTGGCAGAGTAATTCCAATACAAGGGTAGGCATGGATATGAAAATTACATTTGTTTATTTACAGTGTATTTCTAGAGAAGTAAATATGTTTAACTGCAAAGGAAATGAAGAGAGACTCATTTTTATTCATCACTGAAAGCACTAGAAAAGTTTGGTGATTAACTGAAGAGCAGTAAGTTCATTCTGTTTTACTTCGAATTCAAAAATCAAAATATGATCTCAATGTAGTTTGTTCCAAAACTCCAACAAGCAAAACTAAAAGCATCAGATTTCCTCCCTGGAAATCTGAGGAGAAAATCTGACTTTGACTGGTGGTTGGGCTTTTCCCCCTATGTCTTGATAAAACATTTTTTAAAGGTAATTGCACTGAAATTACTTTAAGGATTCACTCCATTATACTGAAATTACAGGATGCAGTACTGTCTATCTCAGCTTTCATTGAAGTGCAAATCATTGTTATGATTTTTATGCGTCCTTTTGACAAGTAACGTATACAAGATTTTTATAAAGTCTTTTCTAAAAGTATTCAATCAATTTGCACACTTAGGTTTCCAGAAACAAACTGCAGAGAAATATCTTGCATAACACACATGTTGGAATTCTGATTGTGTTCTGCCTTGGTTTTGACTTACCTGGAAGTCTTTGGTGTTTTTACATTTCTTTCCTATTTATCTAAAGCTCTTCTGACACTTAACTGCTCACATTACTTACGCAATGGCAAATAGCTCTTCTTACATAGGAAGAGCCTTTTCATCTGTAGAGATACCTTTTATGGCCAAAAGAACATTGAATGTTAAACAGGCATGGAAAGAGAATAATGCTACCTGAGGTCATGCAGCAGGTCAGTAATGAAGGTGAGGCTGTTTTTCTGACATCTCATCTAATGCCTCCTGTTGCTTAAATTTGCTGTTTCCATGGACTTTACCAGGACTGTTGATGTGAGTGAGGACAGTGTAAGGCTGGCCTAAGACAACAGCTGAAGTTTGAGAGTTAGGAGTAGATGGTGTTGCCAGGTACGAACCTGCCTGGAGAAAGCCTGAAATGTTTCTGTGCAGAGAAAAGTGCAAAAAGATACATGAAATGGGGAAAAAAAAATCCACAAATACTTCAGAATCAGACACTATACGAACAACAGGAGGTATTACAGATTCACAACAGGAACAATACAATGCAGAGCATGTTCCTGAGTGCTGGATGACAACCACAACTTCATCTGGAGAATCTGTTAATCACAGGAGAGCACCTGGGGCTGTGTCATCCTAAATTTGTTACTGTGGGAACAAAGTGCAACTAGACTTTCACAGGACCCACACTGACTCTGGGAATACATGTGCCACACCTGGACTTTCACTCAAGTGAAAGACCACAGTCTAAGCAGACCTCCTAAAAGAGAAATTTCTGTGATAATACATCACAGATGGGTGCTCAGCAGATTGCAATTATAAAACATTCCTAAATGTGATTAACTGCAATGTCAGAACGACTCCATGTGTTCCTAAAAGTAAACAGTCACTTCTCACCTGTGAAGATAAACTTTAAAGGGAGTTTAAAGTTTTAAAGCAGTTTAAGGAATGAGGAACTATGCAACCCAGTGTGTGATACTGAATCATGGATTGGTCTTTCAGATAACCCAAAAATTCCTGTTGTCCTTGTAGAAATAATATTCCTGCAATGCTCTTTCTGTCTAGGAAGAGCTGAATTTTATTTTCAAAAAGTAATATTGTCCTGGAAAGTGCTCTGAGACAAAGTAGCTCAGGGTACCTCATAGCATGAGAACATGTTTTTGAATTTAACAGTCAAAATAATCGCAACACTGAGGGAGGAAGGAGCACATCAGTGTTAGAATGTATAGACAAATATAAAAATAACCAACAGTTTCATGAATGCGTGATATGAATGAAGGAGTTCTTGCAAAGTGCTCCTCACCTTTTTAATGTGAAAGCCCGATTTTCTGCCGTCTGTGTTTCAGCACCCTCAGAATTAATCAAGCTCTCACAGTTGTGTTTAGAGAGTCTAGAATCATTCCAGTAAAATTGCCATTGATTCTGATCTCTGAAAAAAGACTTGCTTACAGGCTTAAAGAGCATAAGCATCTAAATATTTCTGTGACTCTTCGCATCCACCTTAACCCTGGCAAATTCTCTCAGTCAGGGTGGCAAAAACTCTTTTTGTAGCTGAAATTTAGCAAATACGAATAACTTTGATTTTAAAAAAAATTACCGTTCCAACGCTGCCAAAGCTACTCCACCAACACCCTCCCCCGAAGTTGCCACCGCAACTTGTAACCCGAGGGCTCCAAACAATTCCCTGAGGGACAGCCGGTGAAAAGCAAGGAAACTACTTACGGAGAAGTGGCAGCACGCGCTCTAACACCACAAACACGATAAAGCTATTAAAATGGCTACAAAACAGCTATCAAACGCCGTACCTGTCATCCCGCCGCGCCGCCGGGGCAGCGCCGTTACCTGCGGTCGGGATGGAGCGGCCGCTCCTCGCGCAGCGTCGGGAGCGAGGGACAGCGGGACTTTCGGGAACACCGGGACATCGAGCGCCTCCCCCGGCACCGCCCTCGGTCCCGGGCGGGCACAGCCGGGTGGGGGCCAGCGCCAGGCCCCCGCCCCCCAGCGCGGCCAGTACCACAGCCCCTACACGCCCCCAGTACCCCACTCACACCCAGTCCCACAGCCCCCCCCCCATCCCAGTGCCCTTCTCAGACTTCCAATGCCCCTCTCACACCCCCGGGACAGCACTCAGACCCCCAGTACCGCCCTCACACTCAGTCCCACATCCCCCCCAGACCCTGGTGCCCCCCCTCAGACACCTAACACCCCCCTCACATCCAGTCTCACATGCTGTTATGCCCACACCTGCTCCCCCTCACACCCGTCACCTCAAACCTACATCCCCTCACATCCAGTCCCACATCCCCCCCAGTATCCCACCTCAGACCCACAATACCCCCTTACACCCAGTGCCACACCCCCTTATGCCCACACCTCCTCACCCTCACACCCATCACCTTAAACCCACTTCCATACCCCCTCACACTCCCAATATCACCCCATACCCCCAGTACCCCCTCATGCCCAGTCCCACACCCCCTTAAGCCTACACTTGCTCCCTCTCGCACCCCTCACCCCAAACCCACACCTCCCTCACACCTCACACCCACACACAACCCTGCTCTTATCCACCCCCTCACACCTCCTGAGCCCCCCACATACCCTCAAACCTGCACATCCACCTTCACTCACACCCCTCACACGCTCCCTGAGCTTCACAGCCCCCACACACCCCCTCACCGCCTGATCCCCAACCATTACACACCTTGCACCCCTCCACTCCCTCCCTTTTCCCCTGCCCTCCCTGACAGCACCTCCAGTCATTTCCCTCCTGGACAGGAGTGTGGCCACCCCCCTCACGAGAGGGACAACACTGAGGTGTGTTTGCTCTGCTCAATCATCTCCTTCAGGTGCAGTGAATGCTAGAAACAACCCACCCAAGACCTTCTCCACTACCACACTGCTTCCCATCACCCAGGGTGTGGGTTTACTGGCCTAAATGGGAAAGAGAGGAAGCTGAGCCTGAGGAAATGCTTCCCTCAGGTATGCTTAAGTTTGACTTCTCAGTAATTCTGGTCTAATTTCACTGGCTAAAATCCTGTGAAATTTCAAAGCACGGTCGAAGAACCTTCTTGATTTCCATGCAAGTTTAGGACACCTTCACAGAAACACAGACTGGTTGAGGTCGGAAGGGATCTTTGAAGGATGTCTTGTCCAACCCCCTTAACAACCAGGAACACCTGGAAGCCACTTACCCACGATGACTTCTGACATTTCTTTACTGTCTCCAAGGATGGAGTCTCCACAACGTCTCTGGGGCAACCTGTGCCAGTACTTGGTCACCCTCACTGAAAAAATGTTCCCTGGTATTCAGAGGGAAACCCTTGTTCCAATTTGTGCCTGTTGGCTCTTGCTCTGTCACTGCTGGAAAGGGTCTGGCTTTGTCTTTGCACCCTTCTTTCAGGTTGGTAAGACCCCCCACCAAGCCTTTCTCCGGGCTGACCAGGAGCAGCTTGTCTCAGTCTCTTCAGTTCTGACAAAGGTCCTGTGAGGTTCATCTGGGAGGCAGCGGCTCTGCTGAAATCCAGGTGGACATTACTCACACTCTCCCATCACAGGCCAGTCAGTTCATCACAGGAGATCACGGGGCTTCTCCAGCGTGACTCCCCTTGGAGCAGCCATCCTGACATCTCCATCACCCTGCTGTGACAGGACTTTCTGATGGTATCCCAGGGACTCCAAGGGTGTTTTGTTGGAATGCAGTGCTGTTACCTGCGAACGCTGTTTACTGCAGGGGCTGCAGTGCTGCTGTTCTGCGAGGGCCTGTTCTCCCTTTGAAAAGGCACTTGCTGCCTCCACAACATCATCTCGGTGTACAGTAAAAGTCAGCAGGTGAATGCAGCAAACCAAGTGCAGAAGTGGGAGCAAACTGACAGTAAAACCAGCCACCAGCTGCAAAGGGCTGTTTTAGGAGAGAGAAGTTTCCAGAAGGAATGTGAAGGAGATTTGTGCCATGCTATTTTTTAAAAGTCAGAATCAATGAGAGACCATCGTGACTAAGAGCTGGACAAATGGTATGAATAAGCCACTAAGACAAACAACATTCCAAGAGCAGGTTCCTCAGTTACTCTTTAACCTTCTGTTTCAAAAATTAAGTTGGGAGAATGCCCACAGATGTTTTGGGTTTTTTTTCCTGTGGTAAGATTCTAATTATCTTTGTTTTCTTTTCCTCTCTGTACCTCATCCACATTCTTAATACTCAGTCTTTGCCATGCAGCCTTGGAAAGGCATGTGCATTGAACTCCCACTCTGCAGGAGGTTACTGCTCTTCTCAGACCTGCTGTTGGGTGAATTATATGAATTACAGAGGCAGTGTACACTTGAATGTCAGCACTCCTGCAGCTGAAACATCTTCACTTCTGCAGTTCCTGCAGCTCTCAATGTGCTCTTCCTTATTCCTCCGTCCATCCTCGCCTGCATTGTGCTGTCGTGTTTATGACAGCCAACATGAATCATTGACCAAAAAAATAAAAAGAGTATTAAAGCAGCCCTTGGAAGACCACTTTTATGAAGATAATTAGAATTTTTTCTTATAAATGTCACCATGGCTACTTTTGGCTGGATATAAAAACAACTGTTGGTAACAAGTTTATGTTAACAGTGGAGGAGGGTGAAAAACCAGAGCAGGGAACACATCACTGCAGCACAAGTTTTATTATAAAACATAGAAGATGTTTGCATATGCACATGGCATATTTATCACACTCCTTGATATCCTTCTCCTACATTTCACTGAGACTTGGGCTAGATGGATATCTGCCAGGGGAAAGTTTTGTGCTCACAGAATTCTAACATTCATTTTAATTGACCAAAATGTTTGTCACAAATGAGTGTTTTAGGTCACTCAAAGAATCACCGGCAAAGATATCGGCAAAATCAGGTTTAATATAAAAGTGAAAGCGTGACAAAATTTGTTTGCAAAGTTCACTCTACTGCTTACTAGATAATTAAAGCACACAGAGAAAAACTGGACCAAAATCTAAAATCAATCAATCTAAAACTAAGATCAACCAGAAATTATCTACGTGGAAGCTGGGGTTGGGAAAAAGGTTAAATATGGGAAAGGGTAAGGATCAAAAGGAATAAGGGAGACCCTCCCATTGAGTTACAGAGTTCAGAATGGACTCCCCTGCCAAACTTAGCCCTGGATTTGACCAAGGGTTTAGGCCTAAAGGTTTTAACAGTACTTAAACTTAACAGCAATGAATCTATAGCCTAATTTAAACAATTTAACTGAAGATTCTATAGAATTTACTAAAAGCACAACAGTAACTAACTTATAGGCCTGACTTACTAATCTAACATACGGAAGAATCTGAGAGCAGCATTCCCAGCTCATTTGCTGTAGCACATTCTCACTTGCACACAGACATGAAGTCTGTACATGTATGTACAGGTGAACGAACAGGTTTATTTCTGCCAAAAACCCCCCTCGAGCTCAGCGAAGGACTCATATTGGTGCCTTTGGACCTTCTCCAGGGGCAAAGGACTGAGCCTTGAAGAATTGGGGATCAGCCCAGGCTCCAGCCTTGGTCTTCCCAGTGCAGCAAATTGGAGCATTCCTGGCCCCGAGGGGTCCTGTTCTGAGGGGGACGCTGACCTGGGCACAGCCCAGAGCTCCAGGAGAGCTCCCAGGGTCTCAGTCCACACTGTTTGTGGAGTTGCAAGAGAGTGGGTTTTAGAGTAACTTTCCACCCTTGATTGCAATTCCGGTTGGTGACTTTCTTTGAAAGTTCAGTAACAAAATTGCTGCTCCATTTGGGTCAGGCAAGAAAAATAAATTTCCAAGGCAGTTCATTAAAAAACAGCAGCTCATTAGCCAGCACCCTTCCTGGAGGCAGGCGATGTCTCTGATGAGGTTAAGAGCAGCTCAGCTCAGGTGCTGTACATCAGGGCCAAGGCCTAAGGAGCACTTCTGAGATCACAGTGTGGCTGAGGTGGGTGGGGGTGTGTGCACTGATTCTTGATAAACTGTGCCCAAACATGGACAGGCAAGCCAGTGAAATAGTGAAATTAAAGAACATGCTTAGTTTCCTGGTGGCCAGCTCAGCAACTTGCTAGGAGCCTAGGGCTGGACTGCAGAGCTGGAGCCCAGGAGCTTTGTTTTGGGAGCTGAAGCCCCAGGCTGTGCACACCTGAGAGCCTGGACTGCCTCTGCTTGGCATTGCCAGGGTGTCTAAGTGCTACCGACCACAGCAGGGGATGTTTCCTGTGCCTTTGGGGATCCTGGGAATCAACTCCTAGCTGCTCCATTTTGTTTGTAGGAAAAAAAATAAAAAAAGAACAAAAATAGTTTGATTTGATCTGAAAAAAACCCTCCTGGTTTTAGATTTTGCTTCCCAAGGGAAAAGGTAAACATTTTGTCATGTCTGTTTGGCACTGACCAGCCTTAGCCTACAATAGCAAGAACTCATTCAAATGAAGGAGGAGCCATGATTGTTTATATGTGTAATTACTTACCTATTAATGCATTGGTGTGTAAATTGTTGAACATAGTATAATGTAATATAAGTCATTCTAGTAATTCAATTGCTTTATTATGTATTGGTGCATAGAATTCTTTCCAAAACTGGAAATAAATAGAAAAATATAAAAGCATCATTAATTTTGTTTAGTTGTGGTGACTGAAAAAAACCCAACTAAACCCTGAAATTATTATTATCTACTCATTTGGTACCTTAAATACATTCTAAACCATTATGTACAGAGAGAGATGCTTTTGCTCCAACTGTTTGCAGAGAGAAATGCAGTAATGCTGTAAACAAGAGCGTTCTTAAAAATACTTCTATTAAATGTAACAGGCACAGCTGCTTGCTTGTTAAAAATCTTGAAGGGGATGAGGGTAGTGATGGAGAACCACTAATGGAGAGGTCTAAGAGAGAAGAGCTATCTCTTGTTTCAAAAATAATAAGCAAAACCAAACAGAAGGAATTAGGGCTCTATGAAGTGTCTCACAAAACCCTATGCGTGCAGTGTAAAATGTAGAAAAGTACTTTATTGTTTTGTTTACTTGAGTAATTTCGAGGCATGGCAGGTACTGTACTTTGCTAACAGAGTCTGTGGGGTCAATCACACCAGGTGAGACTACTGAGACAGTTTTCCGTCTGGAAAAATATGCTCTCTGAAGTGTTTGGTGGTTTATTGCTGATTGCTTTGATTAAAAAATGGAGTCTGTGTGCGAATTGCACTTGTGATACTTGCTGGAATGACTGGTGACAGAACAGGGGTTCTTCAAACAATTTTATAGAATAAACGTCTGGTTCTGTGGGCACAAGCACTGGCAACGCTGCAGAACACAAGTGCTTTGTTGATGCTGTGAATCAGAGGCTCATTGGATAACCCTCTTTTGCCAGTTCCTACAGTCTGTGAACATTCATTGAGCTTATTCTTTCTCCTAAATATGTTCATAAATTGTTGTTTAGATTACAGCAGAAAGTTGTCTGTACTCTTTGTGACTGTAGGAGTTTCTAAAGTAATATGAGTTACATACTAGAAAAAAGTATTGCAAATTATGCAGTAAAAATGGTGAAACTGCTGTGCAGCAAAAGAAAAGGAATCTACATGATTCCATCAGAAAGATAATCATAATTTGATGAAAGACACTGAGTCAACACTCTGAAGAAATCAATTTTGACTGATTGAAATAGCAATATGCACAAAAGTACTCAGTGAGTAAAGAACTCCAGAAGAACAGATTGACTTTTTATATGATAAATGACTGAACACACATGAGAAAAAATTTATGTAAAATTAATTAGGAAAAAAATTTATTTCTAAACTTAGGTAACTAAATTGATGAGGTTTTCCAGCTAGGACTCCTGATGGGAACAGATCTAAATTTTTACCTTTCTGAGCAGAGCCTAACAAGAGGAGGTAGAGCGATTAAAAGTTCCTTCTTGTACTTGTGAAAATGAACCTTTCTTTCAAGCTGATTTCACAAGAAATCATTTTCAGGAGCTTTTTTTTGACATGTTTGATGAGTTACTGACATAGCATTGAAAAGCCTAAAAGCTTTTAAAGTGCTCCTTAGTACAACTGAACAAGCTCCAGTGCAATTCAGTGGCCCAATCTATTGTTTGGGATCTCCAGCAAAGGGCTGGTAATCCATGAACTGGTACAGCTGTCCAAAACCAACGTAAGTGTGCCCAGCAGGGTTTTGTGTGGAAAACTGTGAGTCTGGAGGAAGGATGAACATTAAAACGCTCTGTGTTTTGTGCAAGTGCCCATCTCAATTAAATCAATGACATAACTTATAGCCAGTGGCTTCTATATAATGGTTTGCTTATTGAAAAAGACTGCTTAGGAACCAGCACTGATTCAAGGAAGGAAAAGACATTGATGTAGGGTTCCATGGGTAGTGGCCTACCATCCATTTCCTGCCCTCTCAAGTTCTGTATCTTTTTTGTTTTCACAGCAGCCATCACTTAACAAAATATTTGTTTTTATACCTAAGGCTTTCCTTAATTAGGCAAACATCTGGTCCCATTTCAAGAAAAACACTTCACCACCACTTCATTGGAAACAAGCACATACTTAAGAGACCTCTATTTGAAATACCTACTTTTCTTGATCAGCACAATTCTCTGAATTTCTGTAAATTTCCAATCCAATGTGACAGCTGAAGAGATGAGGGATAGAATGGAGAGGACCACAGTTTGAGGACTGAAGGTGATACGCAAAAGCTGTAGCCAAGACCATTAAATGATAAAGAGAGCAAGACAAGACTTACAAGAAAAGATAACCTACTTTAACCCACCCAATTTAATTGCAGATGAATAGGCAAGTTTTGCAATGCCGGTTCTTGTCCAAGTCACTTGAAAAAAGTCCTGAAAATTTAACTAGAACAGTACTCTGCCTGAGAGCTTGTCTATTTTTTTTCCAACCATGTCAATTAATCTAACAAAAGCCTTCTTGTATGGATTTTGCTTTGATGTTATGTGAAAGGAGATAGAATGATCTGCAGAGAACAGAGGATAGAATAACCCAGGATCACCCCAGAGCCAGTAGGAAACATGTCCTCACAACTGAAGACACAGGACAGAGCAGGTTTACCCACACGCAGTCCTAGAAGGGCATGGTGTCCACAGAGGGAAGCAGGAGAGCACCAGCCTCAGGGCATTGGGTGATCTGGAATGGGGGCTCTGGCTCTGGGATGTAGTGCAGGCACTTCAGGATAGCAATTCTAGCTGAAGATTTCTGTACGGCTGACAAAGGCAGTCACACAAACACCCAAATCCTGAAAGTCCTTCACTAACAAATTTCTTTTGTCACTGGGTCCTACTGGTGCTAAACCCTGCAGCACTCTGAAATCAGTGTATCCTTCGTAATTATAGCTACAGGGCAAACTAACACGATAAGCCATGTAATCCTTCTAGGAAACATCAATTTCCTCTTCTCAGCTCTTTTCCTGTTTCCACTCTTCTGTTTCAGGACCTGCCTTTTCAGATTTTCTGGTCAGCCTACCTTGACTTTGTTGGCCTCTTTCCTGCAGCCCACCTGGGCAAGCAGTGACAGCTAATCCACACATGAATAAGGAGGGAACCATCAGCTAATTCTGTACTTAACCAAGCCTTTTCACCTAATTTGTCACCTCATTTTCTGCCCCATTAACACACAACCCACCCCTCAGCTTCTCCCCTTTCCAAATCAGCTGCTGCCTCTCTATGCTCCTGTCTCCTTCTCTTAGCCTAACTTTTAAATTACTCAGGATTAGTTTGGGTTTAGGTTTAAGTCTTCAGGAAATTAGCCATAGTCTGATGAAGACAACATGACTGTCTGTTCCCCATTAAGATCTCATGTCAAGTGCTCCTGGTGCTCTCCTCAGATAACCTGAATAAGATAATCATTGTAATTTTCCCCTTCCTGTTTTTCCCCTAGTCTTCTGCATAGATACTAACAGTATTCTGTTTGCTAAATTAGGAAACTTATTTTTCAGAGTGTACCTTTCTTTTCTACGGATTGCTGTCCATTGTAGAGATTTGTTGTTGGAATGTTCCCAGTTCTGACCCTGAATACACTGTGGCTGTAAAGCTACTGAAAACATCAGCTTTCTACTGCCAAATGGAAATCACTACCCACTGTCAGATAAGAGATAATGAGTAACAGATAAGCAATAAAAACATTTGTGGTTTGTTTTTCACCTTTTATAAAGACCCTCTGGTTTTAGCTATCTTGTTAAAACTAATATTATTCTTGAAAATTAAAATTTTAATCTGTTTAGAACAGTTTGCTCCCGAGAAAGCATGAATGAAGGGGATTAAATTATACCTGTACTAGACTTTTCTTGGTGATTCGTAATTATACTGTCACTCATGATGCTATTCATTGCACTTAGCTACATGGAACTGGGGAAAAACATGACATTTCCCCCTGTACTAGACATAATGAGAATCTATGGCTTTTCAAGGAATCATTCATCAATGAAGTACAGAGATAAACAAAACATGGTGAAGTTGTATTTGGAACCAAGGATATTTTTTTTGCCTCAAGCCATAATATAAAATATTCATTTTTCTCTTGGGAAATATAAATGGGGAGGTAGCAGGTGCCAGGTAACCATCCTCAGGAAATAAATCCCTGACAGCAAGCAAAATGTATGTGCTTCCTGAGCACACAGACTCACACCTTTCTGCCTCTGTCCATCTTGAAACATCAGCATCTCACCTTGCAGTGTCTGTCAGTGGGGTGAACACACTTATTTTGGACCAAACTTCACTGTAGTCAAATGCATTTTCCTACTTTTCAGCTGGGATTTGTGTATTGAAAAGCTGTGGTACAAAAAGTGCTGTCCAAATGTAGTGCTTCTACTAAAAACCAAACCAAACAGAAATGCATCTCTTTGGCAGAGAGACACACTGAAGTAGGAAACTCAAAAGTCTGCATTTCCACGAACCACAAATTAACTTAATTTGTTGTCGAATTTGACAAAGGAACATAGTTAAGTGTGGAGAGGACTAAGTCAGTTCAGAAAACAGTCAAGAGTAACCACTTATGTTCTCAGCAGGCTTGTTTTTGCATCCAGGTTAAGTTCTTTGCAATCAAAATCACTCTAGAAAATGAATCGTATCTCCTGCAATGTATGCTTAGGCAGAAATTTTCTAATGGATGTTGGTCTCTGCATCACAGTGTAATCCAACATTGTATGAAGTCTTTTCTTCCATTTCTAATAAATGTCAGTTTTCCTAAACACAATACTTTGCAGAGTGTTTATGCAGAGCTTTCAACACTGACTTATAACTGGTATGTTTTAAATGCTTTCAGGAAGTTATTCTCTTGCCAGGGTCACTGTGACTTATATTTAAAAAAAACCCCCATGACATCTCCCTGGTAACAGTCTCTTTCCTCCCCTTCAACAATGTGCTGTCAATTTAAAACTCAGGAGACTTCTTCCTGCATTATGCAAGCATAAACTTGCTTTTATCGATCGATGTAATATCAGCACACATGGAACAAGAAGATCAATGATGGTAAGTACTCACAGTTTCAAAGGAAACAGAGAAAACTGAGACAACCCAGAACAGATGCTGCAAAAATTATCTTTTTTTATCAGCTAAGTGTTATAAATTGCTGTGAAAAATTCAGGGGGTGCTCATAGCTGATATTCTAAAGGAACAGCAGCACAAATTATTACACTGGCTGTATTTAATGAAGATGAAACTGGACTAGACTATCTGCTTATAATCTGTATTTGTCAGATAGACCATTCAAAAACACAGTGACAAATTAACTGCATCTTTACTGGTAACAATTGGCAAGGATGTAGGAACACAGACTGTTTAAGGAATCAATGTGTATGTTCTTACACTGTGAGGTGGTGGCGGTCAGAGGCACAGCAACTTTTTATGAGAGGAGCAAAGCCTCCTCACAGGTGTGAAGTGAGCAACACATTAAAACCTCTTTATCAGACTATACTGGGTTTGTGTGGCCAGGTTTTGGTCCCAGGGGGCTGCAGGGGTGGCTTCTGTGAGGAGCTGCTGGAAGCTTCCCCCATGTACAACCAGCTCCGAGGCAGCCCTGCGGCTGGCCAAGGCTGAGCCCATCAGCCATGGGGGTAGCACCTCTGGGGCAAGTTAAGAAGGTAGGGAAAAGCCTGTAGGGAACAACAGCAATCACAAGAGGAGTGAGAATGTGAGAGAAGAGCAGCCCTGCAGAGCCCCAGGTCGGTGCAGCAGGAGGGACAGGAGCTGCTCCAGGAGTCAGAGCGGAGGTTACCCTGCAGCCTGTGGTGAGGCAGCTGTGCCCCTATAGCCCCTGGGGGCCCATGGGGGTGCTGTGACCCTCCTGCAGCCCTGAAGGACCCCACATCAGAGCAGGGGATTCCTGAAGGAAGTTCTGATCCCGTGGGAAGCCCTGCTGGAGCAGGCTCCTGGCAGGACCTGTGGCCCCATGGAGAGAGGAGCCCACACTGCAGCAGGTTTGGTGGCAGAACTGGGGACCCTGTGGGGACCCACACTGGAGTGGTAAGAAGGATCAGTGCATCCCTCAACAGCTGCCTGAGACTTCCAGGCTCCCTTTCTCTTGTTGGGCTTGGTTATCTTTCCCTCTACACCAACAAACTTCAAAGACTGCTATAAAGCTACACAACACCCCAGTCAAACTAGGGAGGATTGACTGGACATTTTGAACCACGAGCTACTCAAACCCTTGGTTTCAGTAGAAATGCTCTGACACAGTCTAATGCCTTTCATTAGGGAAGTGTCAGAGATACTGCCATGGATTGTCAGATCAATGCAAGGTCTCATGCTACCTTTGTTATGGAATTGCTCAGACCTACCTCTTCATGCTGCAGACCACCCTTTTATTTCCAGTGCAGGGTGTAGAGTGTAGGGTGTGTTTTTTGGAATCATTCACTACCAAGCTGTTGTACTATCTGGCACGATTTGCTCTCAAAAATTTAATGTATATTTACACTCAGTAAGACTTCAGGATCTAAAATGCCTCCCCTTACACAGAAGTACAGAATGCCTCATTTACTTTGCCACAACAGCTTTTTCGTATACTTCAAATTTGTACTGGATCCCATTCTCTTCCTGGATATCAGCAGGGACACCTGGGTACCTGGGGAGAGAGGAGAGGAAAAAGCAAAAGCCAAAAAGTAGATAAAAATGTCATGATGATTCACCTGTAATTTATCCAATCAACTAGAAAAGCGAGTTGTTTGGAAAAGGAAATGAAAATACTGTGCTTAGAACAGGTATACTACATAAAAACTGTTCTTAAGAATCATATTAATACTATCTGCAACGTGTACACACATCTTTTATATCAAGAAAGCATACTCTGGTGCAAAACAATCCCCCCATTTTTGGCTTAATCAAAAAATTCCCAACATTTTTATTAAAGTCTCCAACAGGTTATTCAAAATGTCTGCCAGAACACTTTGGGGTTTTTTTTTGCTTTGCTTTTCCTCAGATGGTTTAGAAGAAATGTTAAGGACAAGGTTTCTTAAAAGTCTGCAACAGATTCTTAAAGCAGCTGACTGCTACCACAGAAAGAGTTCCTCTATATACCAGATTTTCTAAAGCAGTTTTTATTAACAGACACTTTCAAAAACCTTTTCATCTCTCTGTGACAGAACAAGGATTTTGTATGAGTAATATTGACTCTGAGGGAGAAGTACATTTTAAATTTTATTTGCTAGGTGTGATGGTGTCAGGTTTCCACTTTAGTGAGGAGATTGCCTCATACTTTATAAATTCATGTTGCAAGGCCAAACTTTGATTTCAGTTCACTGGCCAAAACCAACGTACACCCGAGGAACAGCCATGAGGGAGAGAGGGAGCTTTGGGTCAGGCCTCAGGACACGGAAGTGAATGCAGAGCAGCTCAGAATATGTTGGAGTTGGAGGTGGTGACTCATCCTCCTCACCCATCACCTTGTTTGCCTCTCCTGCATCCCTCTTCCCTAGCTCCCTCAGTGCTGTGCTAATCCACTCCTGGGTCCTCTGAAGAGACCTTCACTCTCCACACTTCAGGTTTCTTCCACTGCTGGTCTGTAACCAGCTGGGAGCCAAAACTATAGAAGGAGGAGGAACAGGTCCTGTTGTTCCTGGCTCTTGAGGCAGGTGTCCAATTTTTGCTGCCTCCTTACTGCCTATTGGATGTAGTCTTGCTGGAGAGGACATAAAAGCATGACTGGATACGACAACGATAATATAGAAGAAACCACAGTGAATGGCACAAACTCATGGTTTGATGCCTTTCCCTACCACGTTTGTTAGGAATAAGTAATTTTGTCAAGAGAAAAGGAATAATCTTAGAGATCTATAAAGCTCAACTCTCCCTACTGAAAACCATTTCATTTGTCTTTGGCTATTTATCAAAGACTTTCAGAGGCCAAATATTTTTTACTCACAACACACAGAGAGTTACAAAGCTTAGTAAATATTTGAGTAATTCTAAATACAGAAACAGTAAGAAAGGTACTCTTTTTTTGAAGCAAACTGACACGTGCAATTCTTTATTGCAAAGATTATGGGAAGGCTGAAGAACACAGTGAGTTCCAAAAACCTCTGTGCAGAGCATGGTGCAACTCCAGCTTGTAAGCAAAGTATGATACTGGGGAAAAAATCATCTCTAACTCAAACCAAAAATGGTCTTAATAGGACCCTTGCACATTCAAACTAGGTTAATCTGAAGACAAGCCTCATAGGCAATTTGATACTTACTCTGTGAGAAGTCTGTAGTCTTTATAGTTAATTTCTGGAAAAAATGTGTCACTTTCAAATTCCTTCAAGATTCTTGTCACAAACAATCGCTGATGAATTGGTTTCTCCATTGCTGCCTTTAAAAACAATAGAAACTCAGTCACTATTTTATGCACCACAGGATTTTAGCAAAGCAGGGAAAAAATTACACTCTAAATCTCCTCTTTTAGACTCTGCTCAAGAGCACTTTCTAAAGGGCTAATTTCACCTTGTGTCTGTTCCACCTGGTAAGTGGCAGTAATACCTACTCTGAGTTTGGGTTATCCGATAGAAATCAAGAAAAAAAAAACTGAATAGCCCTGTGAGGAGAAAGGAACAGTGTGGCCTAGTTGCAACAAGCAATTTCTGAATCACACCTCTCTGAGAAACAGGAAGGTGGTGGGAGATGCCCTCACCTCAAGGTCGTTTGTTCTGATGTTTAATTAATATCAACACTAAGGATCTGCAGTGTATTTTTAGTCTGCACTAGTTTGCAATTCCAGAGATCAAACTGCCTATCAGTAGAACTTCAAAGTTCGATCTCTGGATTGTGGAAAAGTGATAAAATGCATTGAAAGTTTTTAACAACGTTTCCAAGCTTCTCGGACGAAAAAGTTTAAAATGACACTTGTTAGGTGAGTTTGTCACTAAAAACTTCAGGAGTCAAAAGTTTGAGATATTTTGTCTCCAGATAAGGTTGGAAAGACACCTCTCCCCATACCTTGTGGCATTAAACTAACCTATTAAAAGCTACACTGGTGATGGTGGTTACAATATATTTTTGAAAAGCTTGCAGCCATTCCTCCCTTTCCCTTAAACTGGCAATGAGCAATGCTCTTTGTGGAAGGTGACTCACCATGCAGCAGGCTATTAGGTACTACTTCAGCAAGAACAGGAACCAAGCCATAGCAAATGGAATACAATAAAAGTAATTGTTGCCTCTGCTGAGAGGTTAATTTCTAGAAAAGCTGCCTGATTACTAGACAACAGGTAAAAATGGAAGGGGTAACTCACAACACACCAGCATCCAACAGCCCTGAACTGGTATTGGTCCAGCTTCTACATAAATATCAGTATTTTTATTTGTTTAAGTAAGTGTGGCAGGTAAGAAGAGAAACATACACCTGCGAAATGAGAGAAAAATAATAATCTGCTCCACAAATAAAAACATACTGTTTTTTGCAAACGGAGATACTTCTATTCTGTAGTAGAAGAATAAACTGATGTCCTATCCAGCTCTGGGAAGTCAGCTTCAGCAAGAACTCTCTACCACCAGGACAGGCCAGGGAAGAGCACACTGATCACAGATGTTGCAAAGAGAACTGAATTTAGTCCAAAGGGACCAGATGGTGACCTCTGTTCCAGGTAAATGGTTTCATTAGATGAGTGAACCAACCAGCTGTGTAACCATCCGCTCATTAATAAAAGAAGTGCAAATGCTTCCTCAGTTACCAGACTAGCTCTGGAGTCTGTGTGGAGGTGGCCCACGAATAGTAAACAACAAACAGAGAAGAACTTGGGAAAAAGCAAGGGACTTGAGGTGGTTATAACCCATATGTTTCTCCTTAGCAGGTGGGAATGCCCAGTGTCATGGCAGAGAGAGTGCAGCGGGCAAGGAGAAACACACTGTAAGGTGACTCCACTTTCCATTTCACAATTTTCCCTATATTGGGATTTAAATAAGCAGTTGAATCACATATAGGCTGACATTCTGACCTGACCTTGGCCTGTGCCCATGGCCCTGTCTGGTCACTCCAGGGCTGTGCCTGACTCTGGTAACCTCCATGGGGCCTGATTCTGCCCCATGGACCTTTCTCACCACCTCCAGCCCTAGCTGATGTGTCCCCTGTCATCCCAGTTACTGCCCCTGGGTTCCAGCTCCTTTGGGAGTACCTGGTCCTCCATGTTCTTTCACAGTATCTTCAGATAAGCAAATTTTGGATCAAACAGGAAGTCTTATACGTGTGGAGCCTATACATGAGCCTGTTTGGCAACGACCGGACTCTGACACTACCTCTGCCAACTACTGCCATGGACCTGGAAGGATGGCAAAGGAGCTTTATCACAACTCTGTCATTTCCACGGGGATTAAAGTAGTTCCTCAGTGACATTCAATTCACTCTTGCCCTGTCCAGCCCATTCCATACATTCCTTTTCTCAGGACTGAAGAGAAGGTAGAAGATGAATAGTGCTGAGCTGATGGAATGTTGATGTACTCATTCTACAAACACCATATCATAAGACCATACCAACATAAGTAAATCAACACCTGTGTGTGTTGTTTATGCTTTCTTTTAAGAGGACTGTATTTAATATGTGGCAATGTGCTAGACTCATAGATCTTATTCCTAGGAACAGCCTAGTAAAGCCTGAGTGTTGTTTCTAATCAGTCTAAACTACACAGTTTAAATATAGTTAAAAGAAACTGATATAACTGAGCAGTCTCTGAGCAACCTGGTCTAATGGAAAGTGTCCCTGCTCACGGTAGAAGGTTTGGAATAAGACGGTGTTTAAAGTCCCTTCCAACCTAAACCACTCTGTGATTCGATGACTCCCTTAGGATGTCCCTGAGCACTGTTTTTCAGAGTCAAAGCCAAGACCTGAACCTCTGTGGTGGGGGGAAACAGTTTTCCCCCCAAAGTTATAAAATGGTAAAACCCCAGGGGGTGGTGACCCTTGAGGTTTTGAGGTTTTACTCAATGAGCGCTTCTGCAAAATATAAACATATCACAAGCAGAACAGAAGAGAAGGTAGTTGTTGTTGGTTGTAGAAGAAGTAGTTCATGTTGTGAAAGCCACAAGGAAGGGGCTCGGAGCCCCTTGGGGCCTCTGGGCCCACCCCAGCCCCCGGCAAGGGGGCTGCAGGAACTTGGAACAGTGGCAGCAGCAGAGAGAGAGCAGAACTAGCTCTACAGACAGAGTTTTTCGGGTAAGAACTAAATCAAAAAAACCCCCAACTCCTTTTGTGACCTTTCTTAAGTGGAAAGAATGGACTCCTACTGAATGGAAGTCCTAAAAGTGCAGCAGCACTGCAGAAAAGAGCTGTAAAGCTCAGAAGGAATGCGGAGAGGGTGACCTGCCCCCCCCCCGCCCCACCTTGAGACAGAGCGCAGAGCTCTGCAAAGGGGAATTTGAAAAGGACCATCAGGAAGACCCCTGCGCTTTGTGATATGATATGGTGATAGCACCCTTGTCCTGGGAAACGCAGCCCACGGAAGAGAAGACCCTCGCTTGAAGACGAGTGGCCGAGGGGCTTGGATACCCCCTCGTGAGTACTGACAGAGATCCAGCTACAGCTGCTGCATGAGAAGAAGAGCGAAACATAGAGACTGCTGCCCTAGAGACATTGCTGCTCTGAGAGTGGGAAAGGATCTTTCCTTCTTCCCTCCTGGACTTTTATTTGGAGGGGAGAAGAGATTTGATCCATTGTAAATACTTATGTCATGGTAGAGATAATTAAGACTGTATATAATGTATTGTAGTATTTATTTTGTACAGTCATTGTAATGTATTCCCTTTCCCCCATTCTGAGTCTCATGTAGTGTCTGGAAACCATCTCACACTGGGTTGAGATGTGGGAGGGGGTTTGGACTAGGGAATTAGATTTTGGGGCTCTCAAACCATGACAACCTCTCAATCAGGAGACAATACCTCCACACAGAGAGCATCAGTGTCTGAACTCAGAAGAAGATTTGAAATCACAAAACTGTAGAATCACAGAGGTTGGAAAAGACCTCCAAGACCATTGAGTCCAACTGTTACTGAATCTTCTGATTGCTCCCACTCATCAAGCCCGAGTTGTACTTGGGAACAGTTTTGACATTCATGAACTAAATTTCTTGGGGATGAAACCAAGCCAGGAAATGTGCTCCAGGGATATGTCTGACAAGCTCTAACAGCTACCAGGGACTCCAGAGCCAGAACCTATGAGTGAGCCACTTCCAGCACACAAGAAGCACTCACAGGTCAACAGACAGCCCTCAAACATGAAGAGCTTGCACAAAATCATGAAGTGCCTGTCATTACACAGAACAGCTTTGTAATTGCTGTAACCTACTGACCACTGCTGGGCTGTTCCGCTCCTCCTTCCACACGCACACAACCAACAGCAACCTCAGCTCCTTCTGGAACTCAGGAGATCCCAAGCAGTGCAGAGGATCCACAGAGTCTGTCACCATACTAAGATCCAAAGAAATTAAGCTTGTAAACCTGTGCTGTGAGTACAGGTGGAGGCATCAGTACTGCCCTCACCCTGCAGTTGGGTGGGTGCTGACCTGGCACAACTCCCTGGGTGAGGTCAGGTCAGGCTGGTGTTCCAGTGTGAAGGTGTCTGGGCTGAGCACGAGGCACAGAGGGGATGCACTGTTTCAGGTGAGGCAGGTGCTCAGATGTCCTGAATGACCCACACTAAGGGTGTGGGAAACCAAAGACAGCAAAGGCCTGGAAGATCATGTTCACGTTCCCTGCTCACACCATCTACAGAAACAAGGCTGGCAGGATTGCTCCTGGGAGCTGGGGGACAACAGCCCTGGCCACGGGGGACCTCCCCAAGCCAAACTGATCAGAAGGCGCTAAGGTTGGGAGCTGTGTTAAAAGGCTCCACGAGGCAATAAGCCACACTCTTGTCTGGCAATGGCGGCTGCTGCTGCTGTAGCTCTTGACAGATGTCCTCAGTTGTGCACCCTCATATTCAAGTATGTTTTGCATCTACTCCTCATTCCCCAGAATCCCACACCAGTGGGATGTCATCATCAGACCCAGTGGGATGTCTCCAGACTCAATGGGATGTCACCAGACTAAGCTCATTGTGCCAAGGACCACAGACCAACCAGGGCAGAGCATCCCCAGTGAGGACCCCAAGAATCCCCCCATGTTCCTACTCATCCTTCAACATCCATATCAGCCCCTGACAGGCTGCCAAAGCAGCCCACCCCAAAGTTAAGTGCCAGGGGTGTGTTCCCTTCCGTAGCGAACTCAAAGATGTCTGTGCACTAAGGAGTTAGCAATCCACAGAACAACTATCCTGAACACACTAGGCCGGTGCTGTGCATATTTCTCGCCCATAGGATCAGACAGAGAGCTGTAACAGAGGAGCCTTGAGGCACCTTCCCCTTGGAACTAGTGATTGTACCAACTGCATGTCCTTGCCTTGAACTAAAAGGACAGCAAGAAGATCTCATGTGAACATCCTTCTGTTTGACAGCAGAAATGACGAATAGACACGTTTTCCTGTAAGAAAATCCTATAACAGCTTCAATAACCAAAATGGGGTAGCCCTTTATATGGACAAGGCTCATACTAATAAACACAATCAGTTTTAAACCTTTGAGCCGCACAAAGCAGTAAGATCAAAATAATGCTTTAAACTCAAATACCTGTAACTACCAAATAAAATTATTCACTTCAATTACCAATTGTTATTTTACTTCCCACACATTTGTACATAGTATAATGGAAATACTCTTGTGAAACCCTTTATGCATCTTTAATACAGGCACTACAAAAATGACCTGCAGTTTTGGTAGAGGTGTGTGTTTTCCATCAAACTCTTCTAGTTAAGATCACAAGCCTAGTTTGAATGTGGGAATCTGTATAAAACAGTTAAGATTTCTCTCTAATGAATTAATATTTCCTTTGAAATATCCTGAGCAGATGTTTGCAAGGGGGAAAACAGCCGAAATTTCAGAATTCAAGACCAGTTTGGGTTGGAAGGGACCTTAAAGCCCATCCAGTTCCACCCCCTGCCACGGGCAGGGACACCTTCCACTTTCTTAGGTTGCTCCAAGCCCTGTCCAGTCTGGCCTTGAACACTTCCAGGGATAGGGCAGCCACAGCTTCTCTGGACAACCTGTGCCAGGGCCTCACCACCTTCACAGGGAACAACTCCTTCCAAATATCCCATCTAACCCTGCCCTCTGGCAGTGGGAAGCCGTTCTCCCTTGTCCCATCCCTCCAGGCCCTTGTCCAAAGTCCCTCTCCAGCTCTCCTGGAGCCCCTTTAGGCACTCGAAGGGGCTCTGAGGTCTCCCCAGAGCCTTCTCTTCTCCAGGCTGAACATCCTCAGTTCTCTCAATGCTTCTCCATGTCCAGGGTAACCAGGTCTCCTATTACCCTAAGACATATTCCCTTACACTAATCAGCACAAACAGTATGTTCCAAGTTACTCTTGGTCAAAGCTTCCAATTTATAATCTAAGTATTGGTGATTAAGAGTCTAAAAAATTACATTATTCTCTACCAAATATCAGCCAGACACTGGAAAAATAGTTAAAATATAAGTCTACAAGACAGGTGCTCCTGGAAGGAGAAGCAAAAACAATCACTCTCTACAGCACTAGATGAGCCTGTGGCTGTTGCAGGAAAGGGGTAAATGGTTCTGCTCACACCTGCATCCTGCAGAACTACTGCCAGAGGCTCTTGCTGGGCAGCTGTGCCCACTGTGAAGAAAAGCTGTCTCCACAAATTCCCTGCTGGGAAGCAGACTGAGAGTGAAGGACAGATTACATCTACAGGATAATACCTGATTATAGACTGAACGCATTTGCAATATCAAATACATGATGTGTACTTCACCACACTCCGAAGTGATTATAAAACAGAAACTAAAAAAAGGGAGTAAAGAAACAACAGTGTTTTACAGGGTATTTACACATGCACTTCATCTTTCTCACAGCTTTAGCAATATCTAAATACTTCACTTTTTTTACTGTAAAAGATGCATTCCAAAGACACAGAGAAGAGGTTTGTGAAAGGCACAAACTGCAAAGGCAAGAAATACCAGAAAATGTATTTTCCTGCCCCATACAAGGCATAGTATCAGCCCCCATTTGCTACTAGGAGCTTGACAGCACTGTCATCATACATCTGAAGTCCCAGTGCCAAACAACAAGTGGACAGTAAAGGACAATAGAACTGTTTCCTTCACTATTAAAAAAATAATTGCTTTACAGTTCTTAACAATTCAATTACTAATCCAGAGACTGGGAGCAGTAGGGACATCTGGCTGTTGGATGGGAAAGCAGAGTGAGTGCAACCTCTCGTCATATGATTATCTCCTCTTATTGCTGACACCATCACCTGGCAGCTCTCTCTAAACCCTATTTTCTCACCTGTATACATGTAAAAAAGGTCATACTCTGGCTAAAAATGCTGGACCATTTTTCTTTTTTTTTCATATCCTTTCCAGAGTCAGTCAGCACCCTCAGTAAAATAAATATAGCAATCGTGGTTTTGGCTGAAAAAACGAGCAATGTAGATATTTAAAATAAAGCTCTCAAAGCACAACAGCTGTATGGCAGTGGCCCACTGGCAAGACCAACATTTGGTTACTTGGACAGGCATTTTAAACTCGAGAGCTGAAATTTCACTTTCCAAGACTTGCTCTGTTAGAATCACTGCAGTTTGCACTTCCTAATGCAGAATTAATAGGGACTTGAGCCATTCTCATCCCACCAGAGAGAACGAGTAACTCAGGAGTAGGCTGAATGTACCTTGTAAACTGAAGTGCCTCCGACGATCCAAACCATGTCTACTTTACTTTTTAGCTCTGGTGAATCCAAAAGAGCTAAAGCATCATCCAGACTTTTGGAAAGATAATGTGCTCCTTTTGGGGTTTCCCTAGAAAAAAGCAAAGTTTTATCACTAAATGATTAGAAGGCAATTCATTGTGATCATCAATACAATCTAGAGACACAATGTGTTTGTCTGAATTCACAAACAACTAAATGTAATTGTTTTGAAATGCCTGTTATTGCCAATCTATGTTAGAATTCTCATCTGACTGCACGTTTATCAGATTTCAGCTTCACTGTAACTTAAGGGGTATTATAAATTATAGATCTGAAATTTTATAACGCGTTTTTGAAAAAGCATAACAGAGGAATTTATATATACATAAATAAAATAAATTACAGATAATATAGACATTTTTACCTGAATTCCAAAACATTAATATTTCATTCAATAAAAATAGTTGAAAAGCCTCTATTCAACTGCCCACCCACATGATCAGCTGCAAACCCACCAACATCCTCCAAAACAATAAACCACTCTAAGTGGACACTTTTGTTTAATAATATTTGGGTAACTGTGGGTGATGCATTCAAGATGAGAGCTCTGAAAAAGGGCAGTTCATCCACAAATCCTAATAAAAATAAGCTTCAAAAAAAGGATTAAGAGCCACCAATCTAAGCAGGAACTAGAGAAATGCAGTTGAACACGAGTCAGAAAAACTATGGACAATTGTCAAATGGTTTGTGAGTAGAGCTAGAAGTTGTACTTACAATGCAAAGTAACGACAATTACTTGTAAATTAATTAAAAAAAAATTAAAGGTAACGTAGTTATAACACTCAGGACAAAGAGCAGAAATTCTTTCTAACCAAATACCAGAAATGATACATTTGGAATTACTGTATGTTGATTTGCTACAGGTATTTTTAGATGCAGAATTTTTATTTGTTTTACAGGCCTATTATTCATCATACTTACTTGAGCTCCCTGCTGAGCACAATATTAATTCTGTCTTTTAGAGGACGGTTCTTCTCAGGAATGGAGAACCAGGTTTTTTTACCCATTATCAGTGCATTCTGTTTACCTGAGTATGAGAGGAAACATTTCCTTAAGTTTACTGTTTAGTGACAATGCTGGACTTCCCCTTCTAAACTCCACTTCAGCAGTTAACAAAAGCACAAGCTTAGGCCCCAGTTCACTAATCAGTCACATGTTCGTGGCCTCAAAGCACTGTCAGTCAGCTGACACCAATGCAGTCTCATATAAACTCATAATATTTTCTAGAAGAACCAGCAAAATTAAATCTAAAGCTGAAGGGTATCAGGTATTCAATCATATTCTAAAAATTCACCTATAATTTCTGACCAAACCCAAGCATTCATAACCTCATATACACACCTTTTTTTATAAGATTACCTCTTATATACACAGTCCTAAGAAGAGAAAGATTTCTCTTTATGAGGAAATGGAGTTGTCAGAAAAATAAACACAGAGGCTGAGAGTCAAGAGAGTCAATGGTGACACCCCTGCTGTAAAGATTTATGGCAGCATAATCCATTAAGAACCCTGGTCATGAAGCAACTTACCTACCTAACATCTAAGGTCACAACTTATCAAAAGATCTGCAGGCAGGATGGAGCAAAATTTTTCTTTTTAATTATATTTTAAACATTTTTTTTTTGATCACAGGTTATTTGTGCCAGGTAAGATTCAACTTGCAGACATCTAAAAAGACTTAAAATTGTGTTCTTCATTTTTTTAAAAGTTGCAATGGGATGAATGAGGTCTCCAAAACACAAATAAAATCCTTCCTTAAGACTGTTGAAAAATTCCTTGTGGATTACGGAACAGACCTTTAAGTCAGAAAATGGAATAGGTCAGCTAATCAGAACAAGGGAACATATTAGGCTGACCAGGAGTTTTAACAGGAGCATGAAAAAAAAAACCAACACAGGAAGAAGTGACCACGTTGGGAAATGTTTGCAGTATAGCTGCTGTGTATTATCAGCAGGGTTACGGTATTCTGGCATATGGGGATGGCTCAGCACTCAGAAAACCAAGCAAAATTACATCAGAAGGGTCAGAGGTTTGGAATAAATGACCAAGGCTGAGCTACAGCAAACAAGTTAGATAAGCTAAAACAGCCTGAAAAAAACAAACCATCTCTGCTAGTTAATCAGTATGTGAAAACCTTTCAATTTTTAACATGGAGTTTCAGGGAAAGATGTTTTAGGTAAACTTCAGGTGAAGTTTTCTACTCTTTTAGGGAAACAGGACTTGGGAATCCTTTTCATTAACAGATCACCTGCATCCCCAAAACATCTGAATCATCTCATGTCTTCATCTGACCCGAACGATTTCCCAAGGGATGAAGTACAGGGGAGGCTTGGGAGGACAGGCTGTGTGCAGAAATAAGGCTAGTAATGCAGGGAAATGTAAAATCCCCAGTTTTCCGTGCCTGACACTACACACAGCTCCACATTACCTTCCACATGAGACGTGGTAGTCATTCTCTGGAAGTACTTGTACTCACTCCTGGCGAGAAAACACGAAGAGCGTTACAATGTGGTTTAAGAATGAGGTCTCTAATTTCTAATATTTTTTGGCAATTTCTCTAACTAAAAAAAAAAGAAAAAAAAAAAGAAAGAAAAACCCCCAAACATAAAGCGGGTGCTGATGGTGCCCGGGGAGGAGCGGCTAGACAGAGCCTGGGCCGATGCCGTGGCCGAGGCGGGACCTTTGTCCTCGGTTGCAGGAGGGACAACCCACGCCATGGCGTGAAGGCGAACCCACCCGAAACCCCAACCTCGCCATCCCGCCATCGCCGCGCTTTCCCGCCTCGCCGAGCATCGCCCTCAAGGACTACAACTCCCGGTGCATCCCGCGCGGCCCCGCAGCGCCCGGCGGCAATCGTGCGGCGCAGAGCACGCCGGAAGCTGTAGTCCGCCCGCCCTCACTCTCGACCGGCGGCGGCGCGGCCGTACCTGAGGGGCGGCCAGGGCAGCCGCCCGTCCTTTCCGATGCCCATGTTCTGGCTCACGGCCACGATGGAGTTGAGCGAGCGCGCCATGGCGGCGCCGTGAGGGCCGAGCTCGGCAGCGCCGGGGCGGGCAGGCTGGACGGGGGCGGGCGGAGCGGCCCCATCCGGCGGGAGGCGGTGCCGGGCCCAGCCGGGCCATGGTGCCGAGGGGGCGGCGGGATCGCGGCGGGGTCGGGCGGCAGCTCGTGCTCAGCAGGTTTTTCGGCGCGGCGGGGACCGGCGGCGAGCGCGGCTCCGCCCGGAGCACGGTGACCGGCCAGGGCAGGGAGGGACGGAAGGAAGGGCGGGCAGGACAGGGGTTCCCGCAGGCGAGGGACCGACTGCAGCACCTGTGTGACACGGGGCAGTGGTACCGAGCACTCTGAGGGCATCCTCAGACAAGGGAAAGACAAGGAGCTGCTGGAGAGGGTCCATCAGAGGCCACAGAGGTGATGAGGGGTCTGGAACATCTCCCTGATGAGCAGAGACTGCAGGAGCTGGGCCTGGTTAGTCTGGAGAGGAGAAGACTGGGAAGGGATCCCATCAATCCACACCAATATCCCCAAGGCGTGTCAGAAGATGTCCCAGACTCTGTTTAGTGGTGCCCCAGCGACAGGACAAGGAGCAATGGCCATAAAATAAAACACAACAAGTTCCCCCTCAACATGAGGCAGAACTTCTCTCCATGGAGGTGGCAGAGCCTGGAACAGCTGCCCAGGGAGGGTGCGGAATCTCCCTGTCTGGAGACATCCCAAACCCACTTGGACATATCCCTGTGTCACCTGCTCCAGGTGACCCTGCCTGGGCAGGGGGTTGAGCTGGGTGATCTCCAGAGGACCCTTCCAACCCCAACCATTCTGTGATCCAGGATGTCCCATTTTGCAGGAGCTGGAGCTCAGCACAGGTTTGATGAGCTGGGCAGGGCCAGGGTGCTCGTCCATGTCACTGGGGCTTTGCTCCCATATTGGATCCCTGGCACAGATTGTGCCTCCTGGTGTTGCAAAATGTGGAATATGTAGAGATTATCTTAAGTCAGGATGTTCTTTGATGTTTGATCTTTGTGTTGTTTCCTGATCAACAAGGAAAGAGACCTGGTCAGTGGGACAGGCAGCAGCTGCATCCCTTAGGGAAGGACATCCTGGGACCAACAAGAATTCAGGGTGAAATAAAGATGTTGATGTGTGCCTATGTACACGTTGCTAATTGGCAAAATACTCAAGGTCTGTGTATCCTGTGGCTGAACTGTGTTCATTATAATACTAAACCCCACACTTACAGGCCAAAAAAGACCCAGCCCAAGTGCAGACCCTTCCCCTGAGCACATGTAGAAGTTGGCTGGCGTTGTGTAACCTCTAGGGAAATGACTAATCAATCCTGATAGAGGGGCTGTGCTTGGGAAGTTACTAATTCTGGATTTCTGTGTATAAATGATGACACAGAAAGTCCAGTTGTTGTGCTGGATTTGTGGAACACACTGCGAACCTGTGGCCTGTGAAGTTCTGAAATAAATATTCAGTGTCTTTCAGGTGTGTAATTATTGGCTTGTTGCACACCAGATGACAAATCAGATTTTGTGGACAACTCTGGCATGTAGCAGGCTGAGCTCATGGCCCAGGTGATGGAGCTCAGGCAACTCCAGGTGGCTCTGCTGTTGGGTGCAAGGCCAAAACAGCTTGCAATGATCCAGCAGCCTCTTTGTATCACCACTGGTTAAAAACTGCTATCTCTTAGGAACTGGTTTTCATGCTGAGTTTATGTTTTCCAGTCTTCCGGTAGTTAAAATTTCCAGCCCCTTCTAGCCTGGGATGGTCATTTGCTTTTTCCACCTGTGTGTCAAGGCAACTTTTTTGGTTACCTTTGGTCCAAATGCATTTTTAAAGGTATGATTGCAGCTTTCTGCCCATGCAGAGAAAGCTTCCTAATTAGTGTTAATTTGGTGGTATTTAAAAGTGGATTCAGAAGCTTTGCTACTTATATGGGCTGTACATATGAATAGGTTATAGAGAGGTTATGAACTTAGTTGGTGGGGGTGGAGCTCCTGCTTAGTTGTAAGGAAATTGAAATTCCTCAATTAAACACTCTGAGATTACCATATGAAATGTGGCTGCAGGCAGCTGAAAGCATCTGCTGTGTGCTTATTTGTTAAGTGTTTATATGTTGTTGGAACTCTAAGTTACTTCTTTATATTTAGTCAAACTTCTTGCATGCTGTTAAGCAATAGATCACTGATGAAACAGCATAAATTGACGAATTTTTGGTTTATATGGTGTTCAAGTGCACGTGTCAAAAGACATCTAAGGAGCAGTGGTTGACAGTGCTGTATTTTGTACAAACCCAGGTGCTTACAGGTAGTTTAGGGAAACCTTTTAAAGCCTGGACTGATACTTGCAGGATGGTGTGGAGCAGATGGAGGTGATCCCATCATCACTGGGATTCAGTCCATAGGGAATGGTGCCTCTTGGGGGTGAACAGCCAGTGTCTGGCAAGGAGAGAGCTCTGGACTGTGGGAGTGAGGATTTGCAGAAGAGCTCTGGTTCAGGCACAGGTGGTGGCTGTGGTGTTGTGGGAAAGTCTGTTAAATACTGGTTCAGTTCTCTGCCACAGAAGTGCTCTAAGCTGCCTTTTGAAGCCACAATAGCTGCAGGTGTTTCTTTTATAGCATAACAGCCAACCTGATCACAAGATGTACTGTTCCTCTTCCTCTTGTAGCCTCAAGTGCTAGAAGAACTGTTTTATAAACAAAACATGTAGATAGGTAAAATAGTTAGGAATTTTGTATATGGTAAATTATTTTCATAGAATCACGGAAGGGTTTGGTTGGAAATGACCTTAAAGCTCATCTCCTTCCATACATCGTCATGGGCAGGGACACCTCCAAATGGACCAGGTTGCTCCAAGCCCTGTCCAGCCTGGCCTTGGACACTTCAGGGATGGGTTATTCAATAATTTTGTATTATCTCTTTACAAAATGCTTGGTTGCATTACTGTCTTTCACAGAGGATGGCAAAGAGAAAAAGGAACTGAACTTCTTTGTGTAATTTATGTTTCAGGCTTCTGAATGTGGCACAAAAAGGAGCACATCAACTGAAGGCAATGAACCCTGTGAAAAGAAGCCCAGGGCACAACAAATCACTCTAGAAGATATCTGTAACCCATTGAAGACTCAGGAAAAAAGTGAGTTGACTGTAAACAAACCTCCAAGCATTGAGAGCCAGTAAATAGTTTGTCATTGTCAAATGTGAAAAAAGTGTCTCAGTACTTCAGGAAGTGTCCCTTGAGTGTAAGATACAACTCCGAAGAGCCATAATGAGCATATTCCTGAACTGTTCAAGAACCTTTCTGTGGCACAGGAGCTAGGAATTTGAGCCTTGCTCCAGAATTACTCTGCAAATTCCCTTCAGCTCACTCAGCTTTAACAGGTTGTTCAGTCAGTAAAGTCCAAATGTCCAGGCAGAAATGGTGCAACTTTCCTTCCTGTGTTGGTTTAACAGTCTTGTTCTGAAGCACAACTGACACTTGAGAGCTCTGTAGAGCCTGGTCTGTAACTGGTGTACCCAAAGGCTACCCTGAAGTAAATTCTCACCTGGGAAACAACAGCCCCTCCATTGTCTTGAAAATACCTGAGTTCCATCTGGCTTTGAACCAAGAGTTTAATAAAATAATGCTGGTACAAAAACAAATGAGTGTATATAAAGTTCATTGCACTTCATTTAAAAGAATTAGCCTCCTAAGTTTTTTAAAGTGGGAACTATATTCAGTTTTGTCGGTGCAATGGTTTGAAGTACCAGTAAGACACCACCAAGTAGCAATACTGCCAAAACCTGGACTGACAAAAATTCTACTTGATTTCCAATATTCTTGACTAAATTAGTGGCTTTGTAGTTACCAGCCCAGAAAATAGCTGTGTGTCTTTTCCCATGTATGACCAAGCACACAAATGAGGAATACTGGTTTTCCAGGGAGTTAATCAATCTGGTTCCATGCATGACTCTGTCAGTCTGGGAGAATATTGCAATGGGAGAGGAGAAGGAATGTAGAGAAGAGAGAGATGGAGCAAAATGATTTTGTTCTGTGCTTACTGATGTTATTCTAATAGACATTCTGCTTTAGAAAATAAGTTGCTAATGTTTTTGTTGTGTATTTTTACTGAAGAAGAACCTCAGAAGCATGAAAAGCCCTGTATATGTTTGCAAACTCTAGACAGACTGAGAGAATTCTGCAGTGATTCAGACCAGCAGTGTACCAGAATCCAGGATGGTTTTCAGGAGAAGGAGTCCGAGAGTTTGAAGAAATGTCCCAGTATTACTGGGAGAAGTTCAGAATTGAAGATCCCTCTTCCATCTTGGGACACTGACCCAAAGGTTGCTCAGAAGGTATGCAGAGCTGTGGTCTGTGGTGTGTAGATTGCTTGTCATGGTTTAAAAAAAGCAAGTTTTGGCAGAAGCTTTGTGTTTTTGTGTTCTGTCATGAAATAGTGCAGCAGAACCCGACAGACCCCACAGACCCTGCTTTCCTGAAGCTCTTCTTGTAGTGAACAGGATGCATCTTTAGCTCTTCAGTAATACCACTGAAAAACAGCAGTAATGAGAGCAGAGACACTGGTAGTGTATCTTGTGATTGAGTGAAGCTGTAATATCATAATAACGCATGTTCAGTTGGTACTTGGCTCATCTTTCTTTCAATTCTACCAATTTTGATGTGGGCTGTCAAGTTTCTACCAGTCTTTCTTTACATAAATATTAGAAGTATTGCTGAGATGTAGCCTAATCCAGTGGCTGGTAAATCTGACTACTAGAGATACCACTGCTTTTTCATCTGCAGAAGATATGGGTAGCTCGCATGAAAAATTATCATTATTATATGTATGATGCAAGTCAATAAGACTGGGGTAATAGTACTTTGTAAGAGTAGTAGTACTTTGCTTCTTCTTTAATTATGGGTCTAATTAACTTTAGTTAATTCGGTTTTTTAGGTGTCAGGTCCTAAAAGGTATCTCCTGGCTTATTGTGGCAACTGCTCTTTAGTGAAGTTTTATATCTGACTCTTTGAGGGAAGGAGGATGTATGGAAGGTTATACAGTTGATTTTAACCCTGCCTGAAGCTCATGAACTTAAACTGGGAGTGTCTGGTTTGTGTGAGTGTGAGCTCAAAATGGTGAACAGCTTGTGGCAAGATATTTCTGTTGTGATAAGGGATTGAGGTGATGTAGATGTGGTTCCTTGGAGAACACAGAAAACTAATTCCAGGGCTGGCCTGCCTTCTTGGAGCAGCTCATTTTAGATGTTTGTATCTTGATTTTTTCCTGCAGTTTTAACCTGTTTATGTAAGTGATTTTCCTCTAAATCCCTCAAGCTGCTAACTTACAACCATCTCAGTGATTCAACTTCTCTCTCTGTTTTTACTTCTTTTGTTTCCTTTCATGACCTTTATTCATGTGGTTGTCGCTACGATTTCCCCTAAAATGAGACAAGGTCTTCCTGCTGGGCTGGCACAGACCTTGGGTTGAGGACTGCTGAGTGCTTGGGCTCAGGATTTTGCAGTAGAGACATCTGAGCTCCTGGGGCCATCCAAGTTCTGGTGCAGCTTTATTTGTCCTGGGCTGTGCTGTCTTGCTGGATGGTGTGCAATTGTGGGAATTTTGCAGTTAAAGTGTTCTTTTTCCCTGATTGTTCTCTGACTGCAGTCTTTGTACATTCCTATGACCCAGAGTGTATGATTTAAGCCGTCTCTGTATTTCTTCTGAGTTATCACGGCTGCAAAACAGTCTGTTCACTTGGTTGCTTGTCATCTGGATGGGGCGCTTGCTAGAAATGGAAGTCTAATGGATTTATTTGCAGATACAGAATTTTGCAGCACAACCTAATGAATTGTGTTTTGAATGATCATAGGCTTTAAAAACCTGTAGAGGGTGTTGTGTTAGTATTTTTTTTTGAACAAATTTTATTGGTACTTGATATTGTGATATGAGTGAGGAAGAACTTCACTGTAAGTGAAAAATGCCTTATCAGTGTTGTTCGCTGCCCTAATGAAAGACTGAACCCATCACCTTGCTGACAACACAGAACAACGCTGAGTTGTAGACCTGAAGTTGCTTGACAAGAATAGGCTGCGTAATGTCATTGTGAATGGTAAATTGCTGAGAGACAGCTGCTCAAAGTCTTACATGTTAAGGATTTTAGAAACTGTAGTATAGATTTTTTGTGTATAAATTATTTTGGAAGGTTTGCTGAACTTACGTAATAAGGGCAGACTGGAGAATAAATATAGTTTTGGTGGTTGAGACAGTGAACTGAGACTCAAATTGTTTTATTTCTGGATTTACTGTGGAGTTTTGGAACATCAATAATCTCTCTACACTGGAGTTTCTTACTGTAAACTGGAGTGGTTATTTTAATAGCTGGCCAGTTTGGACTGCCCAATCTTTGCAGCTTGCATGGCTCTTGATCTGTGTTTTGAGAACTTATGATACAATAAGCATATGATTTCACCTGAGGTGTCTGAGGATTGTTGTACAGCAAGTCAGCTAACTTTGACTTTCCTGACTTTTTAATTCCTTTTAATTCCAAATAAACTGTGTTGTGTATATCCTACTTTAATAGTTTTGCTGCAGCTCTTTGGGCTATTTAATGCAAGAAGAGTCTTTAGCTCTGTGGTCAATGGAAGCCAAGGTATATGGGGGCAATTGATTTGTTTCATGATTCCTAACTGTACTTTTCCATCCTTTATTTACAGGAGGAGGTACGATGTGATCTTAGTCAGTTTTCTGCATCTCTTAAGTCCTATGAAAATACTCAGAATGCTTTGGATACAAATCTTAATAAAAGAACCAAAAGCATTTACACTCCATTAGAACTTCAGTTCATAGAAATGAAGAAACAGTATAAAGATGCTGTTTTGTGTGTGGAATGTGGATACAAATACCGCTTCTTTGGAGAAGATGCAGAGGTAATTTTTGCCAGGGTTATGCAAAGATTGTTGCATTGTACTGGTGTCCTACGCTGTCTATGACTACTTCCAGAAGGGAGGTTTCTTTGTGGGTTCTTCTGATACTTGAAATCAAGGTGAAAAAATCTCTACATGCTTAAACTTTTTGCCAAAATAGGCTTTATTATTTTGTAATTGGATGGTAGTGCTTGCTGTCATGCATGCTGAGAATTTAAGGTGAATTCCCAGAATAAGTACTTGTCAGAGTTAAAAGTGAAAAACTCTCAGAAGTGAATTGGCTTAAAACTCTACCAGGAGTATTTCAGTTTGGAAGACAGTGGAACAAGTACTGTAAAAAGAGATGAACATAGCAAGTATAGTCTGGATACAGAGGGTATTTTGAATGCGTGTTCAGATGTGGCATCTACACATGCCAGATCTGTAGGAACTTGAAAAGACTTGACAAAAACATAATTTTGAAGTGATGGTTCATTAATGGTTCATAATGTTGGGGGATTTTTTTTGTGATGTGTCCCAAAGTCTTTGCTGCCTACCTTTGATTGGTACTATTTCCACACTCGAGACCAGTGAGAAATGTTGCTTAGTTACTGGGAATTAATTTTCCCCATGAAATTTGGGCTGTGTAATTTGTCTACTCATTTGCTGGTGTACTCATAGTCCAGAAATAGAAATACGTGGTCCAGGGAGACAGGTCAGTGTTTGGCTGCAGTTCCTGCTTAACACACATTGTCTAGTCAGTGAACAACTAAAAGGCAGAAAGTCAAATACGAATCACACATGATAATGTCACATTTCAGTAAGTGTTGTTACTCTTTTTTATTAAGTATTCAGTTTCTACTACTCTTCGATATTGATTTTTCAGTATTTTAATTGATTAGCCAGCTTAATCCCATCTTAATAACCACAAATTAAATACCTCCATTCCTTTTGTGTTTTTAGGAGTGCAAAAATTATTTGACCATCTGTTGAGCTGTGTTTCAGACCCTGTGTGTACAGTATATGTGGTTTGCCTCACAGTGGTGAAGATCAAACTGCACCCTAAAAATCTGACAGGTGAAGTCTGTGATAGCGAAGCCCCTGCTTGTGGCAGTGCCAAGACAGGAAGGTGCAGGGGCCCAGTCCCTCCAGGCTTTCTCCTGGAATGTTTTCCCTTTGACACTGAGCTTTTAATTGTAGCTGTGCATCACTGTTGTCATAGAGATAAGCTCCTTACCCTCCTGAATGACTTTCTGACCTGTCGGCTGACTTTTCTTGTACTTTGCAGATTGCAGCTAGAGAACTGAACATCTATTGCCACCTGGATCACAACTTCATGACTGCCAGTATTCCGAGCCACCGGCTGTTTGTCCACGTGCGGCGCCTTGTGGCAAAGGGACATAAGGTCATCTTTGACCTTTATTAAATCCTCTTGAGCACAGAATAGCCCTGAAATAACTTGCACCTATTGTAAGCAGAGTCTTATTTCAGCTGAGAAATGGGCAGCTCATTATCACCTGCTTCTGCAATTAAAAATGTCCTTTGTTTCAATTCCTCTGTTCTGGGAGGTGTCATGGACCTTAAGTAGATTCAGGCTTCCTCTGTTTTACAGAAAAGTATCTTCATGTTTTCAGGAACAGTTCTGGAACAATTTTTCCTCTCAATATTTCTTTATAAAGTCTTTCCATTTGATAAAGAGAAATGTATATATCCTCTCTTTTATTGTTCCTCACATCCTTGTTTTCCTTATCCCAGCCCAATTTTTTTTCCTTCCTGTCCTTGATCCCTGTAAATCTATGGCTTTCTGTTGATAGCTCTTTTTCTGGTTTTAGGAAAAGAATGTCACAGAATATGCTGAATCTAAATTGATTGCAGCAACCATTCTCTGATAAGCAGTGAACTGTAGCTTAGTTGTTTCAAAATAGGACAAGAAGCACAGGGGCAGAGGCTGAGAAGGCAATTAGGAGTAGACAAAGGGTCAGGAAAAGGAATGCCTTTCTCATTAGTAGGATTGATGTTTGCCTCTGCCCTTTCTGTTGATGATGCACTCCAGCTTGAATCATGCATTTGCTCTTTGCACGTCTAAAAATATCATCAATCATATGAAATAGTAAAAATAATAATTTATTATCAGAGATCTAACTTTGTTTCTTGTTTGCCTGTAGGTTGGAGTAATAAAACAAATGGAAACTGCAGCACTGAAAGCTGCTGGAGAAAACAAAAGCTCTCTCTTCAGCCGTAAGCTGACTGCTCTCTACACTAAGTCTACACTTATTGGAGAAGATATCCTTTTCAAACAAGTTTGGTTTCAGATCTAACCTTTGGTTTGTGAGAGGTCTTGATTCCAGTATTATCACCTGGATGGAACATGAGTAGCAAGTGGCAGCAGGAAACCAAATTCCTTTAATTTTATGTTGTGTAAAACATCTGGCTGGCTTTTCAAAGAATTTAATCTCCTGTAGGTTTGTTGTGAAACAGCAGAGGTTATGTTTACTGTAGTTGCTTTCTGAAGGCAGAGAGTGGGCTTCCCAAGTCTGCCATGTTCTGCAGGTCCTGCCTAGAAAATGCAAAAATGAGATAGAAACAGCTTTTAACCAGTGACTTTAGTTTCTTCCCTTCTATTTTTCGTTTTCCAATCTCCTGCCTTATCTATCTCATTTTTTTTCTTTAATTTCTTGAACTAACTTATCAGATACCAGGACCTAAAAAGATTTTTAGATTAGTGCTTGTGAGTAGAGAAGGACTTAGATCCAGAAGGACCTGTGAACAATCCACCCAAATCTCTGTACTGGTTTTTTTAACACTTGTTACATGTGAACCCTTTGCTGAAGCTGGATGATTCTGTAGATGTTGAAGAGGTAACAAGAGATGTCCCTGATAACTACCTCCTCTGTTGCTGTGAAAATGGAGAAAACCTAAGGGGCAGGAAGACAGGTGACATTGTTATAGGCATTATGGTAAGTTAGTTTCATAGGGGAATCAGTATTTTAGGGTTTGTGTGGAGTGGTTTTGTTGGGTTTTTTTGAGAGGTGGGTGATTACCTTCTTAAAGTCATGATCTGTCTTATATATTTTATTTTGGGTGGGGAATTGATTTCTTTAAATTACTTTTTTCTGGATTTTTTTGTTGTTGTTAAAAAGGGGCAGTTTAGGTAAGATATCATCTGTATGTGAACTGTGATGACTTTACATTTGAAAACTACAGAAAAGGAGTTGATAGTTGAATATTCATGAAACTGTATTTGCTGTTGTTTCACTTGAAAACATATTTTAACCAAATACAGGGAAATCATTAGTTCAGATGCTTTACTAACTTTAAACATTTTTAGGGTCAATATTTTAAAGCTTGTGACTGCTTTTTTCCTATATAAAATACTATTCTTTAGAGCAAAAGACTTAGGATTTTTTACCATTTACACTTCAGATTTGTATTCTCTTTTATGGTGAAGATTAAAACCAATCACTTTAACCAGCAAAACGTGGTGATAACTGAAGCCTGGTCAGCTGGTAATTAATTAATTTAAAAGCATCTTGATTGTGCTTGTGTTTGAATGTCACACTGCAGATGGGAGAGAACAACAAAAGCACATGTTTAGATTCCAGGCTGAATTATGTGTAGCTTTCATAGACTTCAAGTACATAGATTTGAATTGTATGAAAAGTTGAACAGTGGTGGATTGATGACAACAAGAGCACATTTATATTTTTAATGTATTGCTGCCACTTACCAAGACAAAGTCATGACAGTCTTTTGAAGTTATTACAATACTATAGATTTGACAAAAACACAATTTATGTTTTTTGATCTGCCACGTTCACTGTGTGTGTGGGTGCTGTACAGTTTTGTGCTGTACACCATAGATTTTCTTTCTGGTTTAACAGTTTGAGTCAATGAAACACTCCCTGGAATTGTAAATATCCAGTGGATATATATGTATTTTTTTTATTTGACAGGTGATCCAACCAACTACTGGAGAAGTAATTTTTGACTGTTTTCGGGACTCTGCGTCTCGCTCAGAATTGGAGAGTCGAGTTTTGCGCCTGCAGCCAGTTGAAATAATTCTTCCATCCAGGTTGTCAGATCAATCTGAAAAGCTCATCAGCAGTATAACCTCCAGGAGGTAAGTTTCGAAGGGATTTTGTGTTTGAGGCTTTTTTATTTTTTATTTTTTAGATACAGCACACCTATTGATAGAGTTTAGATCCAGAAGCAGGTATAGATGTGTAGTTCTGTAGAGGCTCATTTCAGAAGTAGTTTGCTGCTGGGTTGAAAATCTCCCAAATGCCTCTTATTCTTAAATTGTACTTAAATTTGTGGCTTCTCTCTCTGGCCTGTGAAAGATTCATGTGCCTAAACGTGGTCATTTAGATAGTCTTGCTACCACACTCCTGATCATAGGATTTGTTGGAATAATTTCCAAGCTTATGCACTTACCTTTGACTTCTGAAAAAAGTGTTTTTTTCTTTTTGTTTCTATTAATGTAAATAGGTATAGAAAATCTTTGCAACTGGTATTTGATTCTGTTTCTCCTATTACACTATCTTGAACTTGGGTACAGACTTGTGAGTGTTGTGACTGATTATCTACTTATGTTTTGAGTTGTCTTTGTGTATTTCAAGAGGAAATTTGTTACCTGTTTTCTGTATCAGTTTTACTGTGTAATAAAGCCAGAAGAGGATATAATTGGTAGGGTGATAGATTAAAGATGAAGCAATTCTCTGAACAGGTGGGGTAGGCTTGTGAAATCTTGCAGATGCAATTTTTGTGAGAAAATATCAGTTTTTCTTTTTTTTTTTTTTTTTTTAAACCATGCAGGCTTGGGCTGTAGAGAGCTAGCTCAGAGCTTGATGTTTCAGTAATCATTGTGATGCAGGTTTGGGAGAGTGGCTGTATCTTTTTTTTTTTTCTCCTGGTTATGCACAGTTGAAAACGTTTGTGAGTAACTTCTCATTTTTATGAAGATCCAAAAATACTACCCATTAGCTGATTCTGTGAATAGATATTAGCTTGTATAATTTTTTGCCTTTCTGGTAATTTACTAGGCAGCTTTCCAGCCTAAATGTTCTTAATTACAGGAGAGTGACAAAAATAAAAGACAGTATTGCAGTACACTTCAGTAGTCTTATTTCAAAAACAATTCTTCATGAATTTTCTTGTACCAAAGATGAAACCACTAGAGGGCTCTGAAGTATTTAGTATTATTTTAAGTGATTCCAATATGCTGCTTTCCTGTGCTTTTAGCTGGGCTTCAGTTTTTATACAGTTGCTTTTACACAGGCAGGAATTTCATTTTAATGCATATTGAGAGGTCTGAAGAATTCAGGTTTGGTTGTTGGCCTATTAGCTGGTAATTTCAGTCTTTGTCTGCTCTTTTTTAAAAACTCCCGGGAAAAGTTTCATTTCTGTAATGTTTTGAAGACCTTTCTGACTAAAACCATGGAAACTAGGTCTTGTGATTCAAGAAGGCTCCTCATCTCTTTGCGTATTAGTAATGCAATGGAAAAACAGTGAATTTGTAAAAACACAAAGGGCACAGATGGGAGAGAAAAATAGTCCCATGAGGAAGAGCTTGGAGAGATTGAGGAGAGAGAAGGGTCTTTTCTGTGTGAGAATTGCGCAAGTGGTTGTGTGGGTAACTTGGGGGTGCTTTGGTGTTCCAACTCGGCACTGAGCAGCCACGGTGATGTGGGCTGTACAAAGACCACATGTGAATATTCTATACTGCTGTGTGTGTCTCTGCCTTAAGTCTGCACAGTACAGTATGTAATTCTTGCTTATGGAATGCTGTGCTTCTCTCTTCCTGTTACTGCAACTGTATCCAGGTTCAGCTGTGTCACTCACACTGTTCGCTGGTGCTTCTGTTCTGGTGTTGTGTTCATTTTCACTGCCAAATTTACAGCAAAGAAGGAAAAAACAGCTGAGTGGCAGGATTCTGCTGTTCTAAATCTGTTTTTATCAAAAACAAGAGCCAAATAAGTTGCTAGAAGTTTTCCATGTCTAAAGCTGATGACATTAATGAGCAGTTAGTGAAGGCAAATGCTGCTGTAGTACGATCATGTAGCTCCTTGTAGGATTTGTTCATAAAATGGAGTTTTAGTTCAGTTAGTATGAAGCCAGGTTAGTTAAAGTGGATAAATGGGTAATTTTACCACTGATTTAAATGACATCTTTTTTTAAAGAATTTTTTGTAGCCATTTGGATTAAACGGGAGTTTGCCAACCTAAGCATGCTTTAGGAATAGTTTAATTTATGGTGTAGATTCATATTACAAGCTAGAAACTTTTGGTAATTTAAAACTTGTTGGAAGCAAATGTATCGAAGTCTGTCATGGTTCCATGCTGGTTTGAATCTCACACTTTGCTGTTTCATGTGGTAAAAGAAATGCTCCTACTTACCAGTGTCATCACATTGTCCATAAAAGTTAATAACTAGAAGATACTATTCAAGGGCAGATTTAATGAACTCAAAAGTACTAATCAAGGATGCTGAACAGGAGGTCAGTTTTGATGCAGAGCCTTCCTTCAAAAGCAAAGTGTAAATTAAATGTACATTGCAGAAACTGGCTCAGGACAAACTGTTCTGTTTGCAAATGCTGACCTGCCTGGAGGAAAATATTTTAGTGTTTTTAGCTTCCTTCTTTCTAGAAAAACAAGAAAAAAGTCTTGCCTTCAGAAAATATGTGTATTTTTACAGAAGAACACTGTGTTTTGTACTCCAAGTTCTTCCTAGTCAAGAGGGCACCCACCCTCCTTAGCATGTTGGCTACTTTAGAACGTCACCTGTGCTGATCTTCCTGACAGTATCTTTGAGGTTTCTTTTGGTTATTTTTCTCTTCTCATGTGCCCCTTTTTTGTTTCATTGAAAAATCCAGTGCATCTTAAGAGTGCTCCTTTGCTCCTCTTTTTCTATTTTTTTTTCCATTTGCCCCTTTTTATGAAATGTTTTATCCTGTGGTGTTCTTGGCTACTGTGTAAAACCACACTGATCAATAGTCCTTTGCTTTTAATCCAGAGCGTTTTACCCCAGTCTGCACTGTTCTGGTTTTTTTACAATCTTTTTTGATGTCTGGCCAACAATCTAAAACCAGAGTGATCTGACAACTGACCTATTGTCTGTGTGGTTTCTCACAGAGAGTGCTATCCATTTCTAATTGCTCTCATGGATGAAGTTGTGGATTTATGTCCTCAGTCAAGGAGTAGAAACTCTACTGGAATGAACTCATTGAAGTCTTGTAAACAAGTATAAAATGCTTTTAATTTTGTGGATCTTTATATGTGGCTGGTGGTTGCTCAGATCTGAGAGTGCATTCATGTAGTTGATGCTGAGGAGGTATTTTTTTTGTGGATGAGCAGGGACAGGAAGGCTTGTAGTGGCAAAAACAAGACACCAAAGGGTTACAGTGAGAGTGACCACTATTGCGAATTAAATTGCAGAGCAGAGGACTGAAGAATACCTAAAGGGTTGGCAATCATAAAAACTAGTGGTTTCATGGTTTTATAGCTTGTAATATTCCCATGGATTTTTAAGTGAAAGGCAAGCTGTGACAAACATCTTGAGAATGTTTTATGTAAGTGGAAGCCACAAGCAGTTTGCAGCAGGAAATAAAGAAGGCAAGTAAAGTACAAAACCAGCGTGTGAGCTATTTTCTGCAAATACAAAACCCAAGTGCATCAGTGAACAGATGTTTACTTGCTAAGGAGGCATTTTACTCTGCTAGGAATCCAATTCATGGCCTGGGCAACCCAGCTGTGGGGAAGCTGCCTGGAGAGTATTGATCGTGTCATAGCTCACTCCTTTTGAACAGACAGGGCAAAAAACTCCACAACAGTATTATCACCTCATGTAATGACCCAACAGAACTGTTGGATGGGTTGGGGTTTTTTTCAATTTAATGCTGTTGTGGTCATGAAAAATGCTGTTCTCAATACTGGAGTTGATTCTTGTTTTCTATGGCACTGCAGGTGAGGGAAGCATGGGGCTTAAATCTCATTCAACAAATGACTTATGGGTAAAGTCATATTTTCCATGGTGTCTAACTGCCCTTCACAGTTTGGGACACAGCACAGGCACATGGCATCCTTTGGGTGGAATTATTGTCCCACTGTGCGTGCAGAGTTGTTGCTAAAGAAACACACAGAGGCAGTTGCAAAGCCCTGTGATTTTCTTATCCCGGATGATAAATTACATTAAAAAAAAGTTAACATTGCTTTTTACAGCAGCAGCTGGCCTTTGCAGGCCTTGTCTTGCCCAAATCCCCTGAGAGAAAAGCAAAGATGTGTGCCCTGATCAGCTTCCCCAAATTCTTTTCTGCTTCCGAGGTGCATTATTTTTCATGTGACTGCAAATAGTATGGAAAACATGCTGTGTTCAGTAGCTGTATTTGTGGCATTTTTGCACTGATTTTTGATATTCATGCATTTGGATTTCCCCCACCCCACCACCATTTGAGCCAGAAATTATTAAATGAAGAATAAATTGATTTGATGCCTGTCCAATTTCTTACTATCAGAAAGTTAACCTTTTAATTAGGATCCCCACCTTACTAAAAGAAGCAGGAAAGGTAAAACTTCAAAGCTTTTGCTTTCATGTTTTGGCACCTATTTGATTTACTATTATGGGATAGATCAGAAACTATGCAAGGTACACATGTAAGTAATTCTACTTTTTGTTGTCCTCTCTAGTTTTGATGTTACTTGTTTTTTTTCTCTCAGTATATATTCATATACTGTGACTTTTTACATATTCAAATGGAGAAGGACTCTTAACCTCTTAAAACTGGTATGCAAGTTTAAATTTTTTTTTTAATAGTCTGTGAATGTTTGTTGGCATATTTGTTAAAGTCCTAGCATTTTTCTTTTTTTTCATAATGACTACTTTCCCATAATTTATTCTTCTTTGAAGCTGACTCGGGACATAAATCTTTCCCTGTGAAACAGTGGCACTATGGATACCTTGGATGTGTTACCTTCTCAGACACTACTTCCCACTACTTTCCTGCCCTCAATGTTAACCCTAGGAGGTAGAAATTCAGCAGCTTTAATCAAAACAATGTTGTGATGTAAATGAGACAAGGATGAGAGAGAGAGAGAGAGAGAGAGAAAGACTAAACTGTCTGCATGT